AAAGCTTTTAGTTTAACCTTAGAAATCATTCTGTTCTCCAAAATCAAATAAAATGTCCAGTATTTAACTTCCAATCAGAACATTTGGGTGCGGGGAGGTTTGGATTGTCCCCTCACCCCCACCCCAGTCCTCAGGGTAGGTGAGCGCTGGCTGGTTTACCTGGGCATGGGGGAGGAGTTCCTGTGTGAGGGGTGTGGCTTAGCTGGCTCGCTCCTGCCTTTCTCTGGGATTTAGGGCTGTATTAGAGATGAATTTAATTTTTCTTGATCATCATCCTGACTATGACAAATCAGATCAAAGTCTTACAACAGCTGGAAATGGTGCCTTCTTTTCAGAGGTACAAGGCTGTTGTTTATCACTTGTTCCCAAACATTGAGGACTCACCGCTTCTGGCTTGAGTTTTTAATTGTGAAATAATTTCTTCAGTTAGTCAGTGCATGCCATTGTACTTCTTGTCTTCAGGGGGAAAAACCCACCACCTCCACATGAGTCATTGTGTCTAATCCCATCACAGGAAGTGAATGTGGTGCCCACTGTGTCAGGAAATGTCTCCCCCAGTGGTTTCCAGTCAGCAGCAGCCTGTTGTGCTGAGCTGATGTGCATAAGCTGGAGTGAAAGGAGCTGGCTTGGTTGGGGATGAGTCAGTGTCTTCGATGAGCACATGTTCTTATAGTTGGAAGACAAGAGTAGGGGATGGAGTGGGCCAGGAAAAAGAAGCCAGCTGTCAGCAACAACTGCTCCTGGAGAATTTGCTGATTGCTGGGCACCTGCTGTTTTAGATGCTACTTGGGCTAAGGAGGAAAAAAAGTGAAAAAGACGGGAGGGAGGGAGGGAGGGAAGGAGGGGTTTGATGCTGTTGGGAGAACTAAAGGAAACAATTATTTGAAAATGAAGAAATGCTGAAAGGATGGCACAGTTGTTGGCCATGGGGCACGGGGCTCCCTTCGCCTTTGCAGAGCTGATTCTGTATTTACCATGTGCCATACAAGGCAGGCATTTATATACTCAGATTATAACTGTAGTACATCGTGTTTATGCACAAGTTATGATGTGAAAATATTTGTGCTTACCCTAGTTAGTGTTAATTACGGATAATGGGTTGAAGCCCTTCTAAGGGTAATTAACCACCTCTGTAGAAGCACCTTTCGGTTTTGCTACCTGGAATCTTCATCACAGCAGAATACAAGCATTACATAAAATGCTTCCAGTTCTTACTCGGTTTGGTGTTGGAAAGCTAGAAGCTGGCATGCCAAGACTCAGCCTTACCTCTCTACCTCTCACCTTTCCAAATCTAAATGCCTGCTCATACTCAGGCACACCTGAATGTCCTAGCCTTCTGAGGCCTCTGTCTACCTGTCTGTACTTCACTCCACCCTTCTCCACTCAACAGTCCATGTTTTGGGAGGGTTCTCAAACTTCGTCTTGCTGCAGGAAGTTCGGCACAGACCTGGTTGGGGCCAGTGATGGTAGCAAAGGTTTATTAGGCTTGCAGGTACACTCAGCCTCCAGCCATGGACTGTCAGCCAGGGGCCTGACTCTGTGGAGGTGTTCACTAGTTAAGCCCTTCATCACCTCCTCTGACCTGACTTCTCAGGATCACCTCATCATTACCTAAACCATCATCTAGTTGGTTTTTCTCTTATCCCCTCCCACCTCATTCAACAATAATTAAGAATTGCTGATGTTTTCTTTTTTAAAAAATATATTTTATCGATTTTTTACAGAGAGGAAAGGAGAGGGATAGAGAGTTAGAAACATCGATGAGAGAGAAACATCGATCAGCTGCCTCCTGCACACTCCCTACTGGGGATGTGCCTGCAACCAAGGTACATGCCCTTGACCAAAATCGGACCTGGGACCCTTGAGTCTGCAGGCTGACGCTCTATCCACTGAGCCAAACCAGTTAGGGCTGATGTTTTCTGTGGAAGGGAATTCTGGGATGTATTAGCAACCTCTTAAAAGGTCAGGGCCTTTTGAAGAGCTGGTCAACTCTTTGAGAGGGGATAGGAGGTAAATGAGGTACCACATCTCAGACACCTGCTTATTGTTTCTGTGATTTCTGGTCATTCAAGCACTGGACTTTCCATAGTTCCTGTCCCTGAATGCTCATAAAGCATGAGTGTGTTTGTTAGAGCCACTCGGGGGTTTATGATTTTGTGGACGTGAGTTTATATTGGGAAGTTCCTGGGTTCATAACTGCAGCCCTCCTGGCTCAAAACTCTTGTGCTCGCTGCGGCAGCACATATACTAAAATTGGAACGATACAGAGAAGACTAGCATGGCCCCTGCACAAGGATGACACGCACATTCGTGAAGCGTTCCATAATTAAAAAGAAAAAACTCTTTACAGTGGGCCACCGCAATGTCTGATTTCATCCTTTCATGGTTTGGCCTGTGACACTGCTCATACCCACAAGGACCTCACTCTGATCATGTCCCCCTCCCCCCCCAAAAACCAAACCAAACCAAACCAAACCAAACCCCTCTTTGTTTACTTCTCAACAGTTTTTGTGCTGAAAGCATTTAGTTTTCTAACAACTATTAGACTACATTTATTTTAGATTCCATAGAGGCGGAGGCAATTGTTCCTAATAATTTTGTAACGAAGTGACTAAACAATTTGTTTTATTGACTCTTAATCATTTCCTGTGCCCTGCCTCTGTGTGTGTGAGAGAGAGAGATTGGCTTTGGCTATCACCAGTTATTCATTTGCTTCCCTGAGGAGCCCTAGGTCCTGGTTCAATTTAGCACAGAATGACTCTTGTACAGAATGTGCAGACGCTTTAAGGGGAACTTGGAGAACTAATGAGGAATGGGTAACTGATAACGTGCCTCAGACACATACTAATGAGGGCATGGGAGGCAGTGGAATCTGACTGTAGCATGGAGGGGAGGAGGGGTGTGGCCAGAGCTCCGGTGGTTTCAGCTCCCACAGTCCTTGGAGTAGGATAGCACACTTGCCCCTCTTACAGATCATGCGCAATCCATGCCGTTTCCCTCCCTGTGTCATCTGATGGAGCTCAGAATTGCTCTGGAAACAGATAGGCCCTCGCTGGGGAGAATCTCATTGAATCCCACTCTCTCACAGGAATCTCCTTACTTCTTCTGTTGCAGTTTACCTGGGGGTCCCACAAGCCTTAGCTGGCCTAATTTTTAAATGCAACTTGAGATTCTGTGAGCTGAGTTCCTACATTTTATGTTAACTTTGTTCTCTCAGGTCCCCAGCAGGAGGGATAACAGTGTCTGAGTTAGATAGATAACAAGTTAGAGTTCCCAAGGTGGCTCATCAGACTCCTGGCTAATTGAACAGATGCCCGAAAACTATGGCATTATCTTCCCCACATGCAATCTGGCATTTTACCTTTTTAAAAATACATGTGAAATGGTTCTGCAAATCATAGATTTCTCAACAATTAACTATGATTTTATTTCCCCAGCTAAATTGTTTAACAATGAAGAGACAGAGAAGGGGGCAGTAACAGGGTCATGAAAGGGAATTTGGGCGTGGTGACAGAGTCATTCAAAAAACGACAGGAGAGCCAAACTAGTATGGCTCAGGGGATGAGCGTCGACCTATGAACCGGGAGGTCACGGGTTCAATTCCCGGGCAGGACACATGCCTGGGTTGTGGGCTCAATCCCCAGTAGGGGGCCTGCCGGAGGCAGCTGATCAATGATTCTCTCTTACCATTGATGTTTCTATCTCTCTTTCCCTCTCTGAAATCAATAAAAAAATATAATTTTTAAAAAGATAGAGAAATTCTTATTCTCATATTCCTATTCTTTTTTTTTCTGCCTAATTTTAATGCTTAACAAAATCCAGAAATCATCTACATGACTCAGTTATCAGACCAGCAGGATATCCTGGAAAAAGAACACAATCCTCTGAATAAAAAAGCAGGAGAAGGCCCAGACGTTCACCAGTAGGGTGGGTTAAATACACGTCAGTGTGTTCAGGTTATAAAATAGAATGAGAACACTCTCTATCAACCAACATAGAAAAATCTCCAATATATTACTGTTAGGTGAGAGGGCGGCGGCGGGGTGGGAAGGGAAGGGGGGGTGGTGCAGCAAATGTATAGAACATGCAAATATTTCTGTAAGAAAAGGGAAAATACGAATTAATTTTGTATTTACTGTTATCTGCATAAAGAAACTGAAGGATACACAAGCCACAAGTAAAAATGTTTATTTCTGTAAAAGATGAGGCAGAGGGTGAGTGGGAGTTAGACTTTATTATACCTTTGTATAGTATTCTAATTCTTGAATTATGACTGTATTATCTATTCAAAAATGAAAATAATTTTTTTAAAGAGAAGATGTACACTGTTAGGTAAGGGATAAATGAAACCTGATCTTGTTTAAGCATATTACATATGTGATTTCAGCCATCAAGTTTTAGCCGATGTGCCCTTTGGGATAGGGAAGTGGTTCTCAACCTTCCTAATGCCGAGACCCTTTAATACAGTTCTTCATGTTGTGGTGACCCCCAATTTCATTGTTACAAATTGAACATAATTAAAGCATAGTGATTAATCACAAAAACAATATGTAATTATATATGTGTTTTCCGATGGTCTTAGGCGACCCCTGTGAAAGGGTCTTTCGACCCCCAAAGGGGTCGCGACCCACAGGTTGAGAACCGCTGGGATAGGGTCATTTGCAGGACCATATATTTTGAGGAGGAAGGTGATAATCCTAGAATTAGAACCTGAGTGGCAATTTAAGTTCTAACCACTTTGGTAGGAAATTAGAAAGGCAAATCTGCACTTAAACTGTTTAGCTTGTTCTGACTTATTGGATTTTTTTAGAAAAACCCCTCCCTCCCCCAAGTAATTGAAAACCTTAAAACATGATAGTCATGATTCACAGTGGAAATCTCTTGCTGATGCCTCAGTGAACACAGTGGGAAAGTGAACTCAAATTATGGTCTTAGCCTGTTTTTATTTAAGTTTGCATCCTGGAGAAAGTGTTGTATAGTCTGTGCTTTTATTTTTACAGGAGCAGAAAAATTCAGATTAGAAACATCCCTCCTCACCTGCAGTGGGAGGTAAGCCAGTGTCACTTCTGTTTTTACTGTCCTCTCGCTTTCCTTCCTCTTTTAGTTCCCTTTCACAGTTAGGAACTGGAGGTCCTCAGACTTGTCCCACCTTTCCCAGTGCCCTAATGTGCACGATCTGCCATGAGTTTGGGGTGGTGTCTGACCCTCTCATCTTGCAGAATGTGCGCTTTGATCTCTCAGGTTCTGCATTCTCAAGCACCAACAAACTGTAAAACAAAATGTATACCTGGTTTGTGATTTTTTAAAAATATGTGTCTTAAAATTGATTTCAGAGAGAGAGGAAAGGAGAGAAATAGAGAGGTATAGAAACATCAGTGATGAGAGAGAAGCATTGATTGGCCGCCTCCTGCACACCCCTCCTGGGGATCGAGCCCACAACCTGGGCATGTGCCTGGACCGGGAACTGAACCGTGACCTCCTGGTTCATGGGTGGACGCTCAACCACTGAGCCACACCGGCCAAGCATGGTTTGTGATTTTTATCTCATGATTTTGTAAACAATTTTTACCTTTCTAAATTATGATTTTGAGGGGGGGGGGAATCCATGGAAAACCAATAGTTTTGTTAGTCTGAGCAAGTTTTTTGTTTATTTTGAATTAACTGCTATGAATAACAGTTAAGATATATTTTCTAAATTGTAAAACTTCTTATAAGATTGCTACCTTCAAATAAATGGACATATGAACAGACTGACAGAGGTCGGGGGGGAGAGGGGTGGGAGACTGATAAATGAAGGTGAAAAGAGCAGCCAAAGAACATACATGCATAGCCCTTGGACACATAGCAGTGGTGAAGGCCAGAGGAGGGGTGGCGGGAACTGGATGGAGGTGGGCAAAGGGGGGCAAATGGAGGACATCTGTAATAGTGTCAACAATAAAGAAATTTAATGCCCTGGCCGGTTTTTCCCAGTGGTTAGAGTGTTGGCCTGAGGATCGAAGGGCTGCAGGTTCGATTCCTGGCCCCGGTCATGGTGCAAGTGGGAGGCAACCAATCACTGTGTCTCTCTTACGTCAATATATCTCTCTCTCTGTCCCCCTCCTCTCCCTCTGTCCCACTTTCTGTAAAAAAAAATCAATGGAAAACATATCCTCAGGTGAAGAGTTTTTAAAAATTAATAATAAGTAAATAAGATAGAATATGAGGAGTGGCATTATTGCATTATTTAAAAACAATATGCCTGCCCCGTGATGTACAGTCCCTCTCCACAACGTTGGAGCGAAAGCCAGGCCTTGAGTCTGCGCCTGCATATTCCTACAACTTCTCAGAGTCCTGTGGACGATGACTGAGGAGATAAACCATGCAGGAAACATCTAGTACGGGGGAAAAAAAGGACAAATAAATAAAATAAAAACAATATGCCTGATAGTTTATTCCCCAACCCAAATGAAATACAAATAGCTATAAAGGAAAGACAGTGTTCTAATATATTCATTACTTCAAAACTTTTTTAAAAAATGTGTTTTTATTGATTATAGAGAGAAAGGGAGAGGGAGTGAGAGAAACGTTGATGAGAAAGAAATAGCAGTCAGCTGTCTCCTGCACACCCTCCACTGGAGGCGTGTCCTGACCGGAAATCGAACCTGTGACCTCTTGGTGCTTGGGTCGACACTCAACCTCTGGGCCACACCAGCGAGGCAATATTTTCATTACTGTAAAAAAACTTTTTATTATGGAAAATGTCAAACACACATCCTCCTGTTCTGTAAAATAAGGAGATTCCTAGAGAAAACCAAAGGAAGAAATGGTTAAAGCTTCCAAGAAAAAGTGAGCCTTGTCCTTGATTCTGCTCTCATTTCAAGAGCAGTAAATAGGTCCCAACCGTCAGAATGAACGTGATTGACAGTTACTGACACTGAAATGCTGGTGTCATGTCAGGGGACAGATTACTTGGAACCCAGGAAGCACATGAAAGTCCCACATATTTATTCAGGTCCAACAGTTTTTATGGAAGACTTGAAATATCAATTTAATTGTGTTAGTCCTGTCACCGTCCTTGTTTTGCTATGGTTCATTTGCTTGGAGAGAGCACTGTACTGTTTCTGTGTGTACAATCTTGTGTTCCCATCCTGACATTGAAGCTTTCTCTTTCAGGTCTTGGATGGACTTTTGGCTCAGTATGGGACAGTGGAGAATGTCGAACAAGGTAATAAGTGAGGAAATTAGCCCACTGAATTTGGAGAGGGATGTTATCTATTATTTCTTGTAGGTTGGGTCAACTCCTGGGAAAAATACTAAGTTCAAACTCCTTTGAAACAAACAAGCTTCTTAGAGTATATGTTTGTGTATCTGTGTGTGAGAGATGTCTATATATAACCTATCTACCCATATCTATATAATTTGTTTTTTCAAGGACTATGATTTTCAGGCTATTTTTTAATACTCTGTAATGGGCTCAAGCATTGGACAAACACTGTCAGGCTGGGATACGCATAATTCACTTGGAAGTAATTGGATTTACACTATTATAACAACTTCCTTCTTCCTGGCTAAAAATAACAATCTTGTACTGAGTGTTTCTCAAGAAGTAGGACTCCTACGCCAGCATCCTCTGGAGTGGTCGTAAAAATGCCTATTCCTCGGGCTCCCCCTAGACATACAAACAAGACCTTCTGGGGCAAGAGTTCATGCATCTGTATTTTAAACGTACTCCCACGTGATTTTTGTAGGTACTCAACTTAGAGAGCCACTGTCTTGGGAACAGCGTAATAAATGCCCACGAAATGCGTACTCTTCTGCCTCCCTTATTTTTACTTTTACCTTCTAAAACATGGTGTGGGTTAGAGAGCAATTGGAACACTCCCTGGGCAAAGGCCAGGGCTGGGCTCACGTTTATGACGTGTAAATCTCAGTGGCAGTTCCACCCTAAGGCTTACACGTTCCCTCCCATAAAGGCTGTGGCTACTTTGAGGTTATGGGATAAACTATATTTTTAGCAGTGGTCTTTAACCTTTTTGAGAATCTGATGGAAATTATAAACCAGGAAAATTCATATATCCACAAATTTGAATCTTTGGGTGGGGTAGGAAGAGTCAGGCCGTAGAATTCCTAAAGCTCTAGTATAGTTCCAAGAGTAAGAATCACTACACTATAGGGTCTTATTATTACTTTGAAAAGGAGCTTTATTGTGGTTTTCTTGAATTATTAGCCTTAACTTCATGTTGTCGTTAACTCCAGGTCCCCCAGTAGCTTAAAACATTTGAAGGGAGGGTTTGATTTAGTCATGTCTGCTTGTTTGTTTGTGGTGTTTTTTTTGGGGGGGGGGGGCGGGGGGGATCAATATTTTTGCTTTAAGTTTACTAGCTTGAATTGAACAAATTTTATCTTTCCTTTTGAATTTATTTTCAACTGCTGACTTTGGATGTAGAAGCAAATGAAAGACGATAAGCCAACTCACAAAATGATTTCTTATTAGCCATCTTTAGTTTATGTGTTCTCTCCTTTAGCCAAGTGAGTCGGGATTGTCAGTTTTCTTTCATTATTGTACGCAGTTACTAAGTTTAACTCCCACAGTCAAGGAGTTCAGTCAAAGGGAAACAAAAGGAGTAATTCAACCTTATCAATGAAAGAAAAATAAAAATACTTTCTTATTTTTCATATATATCCAATTATTTAAAACTAAATGCAAATTATAACAAATAAAATTTATACCTTGATAGTGGTATAATAAATTGATACAAACTTTTAGGAAAGTAATTTGAAATTATACATTAAAAGCATTATGTTCTTTTACCCATTTATTTTTTCTTCTGTGATTGGCTTAAAAAAGTAATTCAAAAGGCCTAAAATTAATGATGTTTGCAACAAATATGGTTTTCAGCAACACTTTTTTTCAGAATAGCAAATTCTGAAAACAATCCACTTGTCAACATTTGAGGGATGGTCAGGCAAAAATCATGACACAGTTGCCCTAGCCAGTTTGGCTTAGTGGATATAGCGTCGGCCTGCGGACCAAAGGGTCCCGGGTTTGATTCCGGTCCTCGTGCAGGAGGCAACCAATCGATGTGTTTCTCTCACATCGATATTTCTCTCTCTCTTTTCCTCTTTCTTCCCCTTTCTCTAAAATCCGTGGAAAACTATCTTCAGGTGGGGATTGAAAAAAAAAATCATGGCACAGTTATTGCAATTTTATGTAGGCATTAAAAAAATACAAGAAAATGTACAAGTAACCATGCAAAAGTGTTTTAAAAATAAGTGAAAATATAGGTTTGAGTTATATATAAATTGATTACAAATATGTATATACAATTGGTTACAAATCATTATGAATATAAATAAATACAGAGATTCAAGTAACTCTAGAGTTAGGGCAGTGAATTATTTTGTGCATTTTTCTCTAAAGTAAGCCTATTTACATTGAGCCAGAGGGCGACAGCTTTTTTCTCTATGACAATGTAGTTTTTGCTTCTTCCCCAGTCAACACAGACACAGAAACTGCCGTTGTCAACGTCACATATTCAACAAGAGAAGAAGCAAAAACGTAAGTGCATTTGGGCTTCCTTAAAGTTTCTGAATGGTTGTCTTTGAATTCCATTGAGTCCTGTGTTTATAAACCATTTTGAAAAGATGCAAACCTTTGACGTGTCACTGGAATTCCCGAGCATTTATACCAGGATGTCTCTTTGTTGATTGCACAGAGACTTTATCTTGAGAAATACTGAGCTGTGGCATCAAAACTGAGTAGGAGTGTTCTTGGCCTGGTCAGGAATAGAGCACCGGCTGTGATGCTGTGGCCTGGACTCTGCTTCGCTACGGGAGCCACTTCCACCTGGAGCTTCCTCCAGGCACCGGATGAAGCAGCACAAACCTTAAATTTTTTTTTAACTTGTTTTTATTGATTTTTAGAGAGAAAGAGGAAGAGGGAGAGAGAGATAGAAACATGGATGATGAGAGAGAATCACGGATCAGCTACCTCCTGCACACCCCATCCTGGGCATGGAGCCCACAACCCGGGCATGTGCCCTTGACCGGGAATCGAACCCAGGACCTCCTGGTTCACAGGTCGACGCTCGACCACTGAGCCACGCCGGCCGGGCCAAACCTTATTTTTTATCCACACTAATTGAATGGACACTCAAACATCCATTTTTCCTCTGTTGAAGGGGGGATCCACCTCAGTGACATCAGCAGCAGGGAGAGGTGTCTGGAGGATATGAATCAAGGAGCATCTGGCTTGGGTTCTTTTTCCTACCCCCATTCACTCCCTAGTCCCCATTCGTGACTAAACTGCTTCAGTGGAGGTTACTTTTGAGCTTGACTATTAACGGATGTGGGATTGAGGTTTTCAGAAATACAACAAAAATAAGTTCCTTTTTGTAGGAAGTTCTTGAAGGTCACTGTAACTAGAATAGGGTCATGCTTGGTTATATATCCCAGGAATACAGATTTATTTCTTTTTCAAGGTTTCAACACACATGAAGACTGTATATAATAGTAAAAGGTTGGAATATATATATTCCAACACACACACACACACACACACACACACACACACACACACACACACATGTATCTATATAATTTTCATACCAGTGGTTTTTAAAAAGTTAATTTTGTATTGGAAAAGGCAGTAACTCATTTGCTGCTGACTTTTGCACACATCTATACCAATAACTCACCTTTGCAGTTCTTGTCCAGCTGCCACTTTGGTAGGACCTTTCTACACATTACTTTGCTGCTTTCATTGAATTCAAAAGGTGCTGCTTTGTAATAAATTCACAAACCCTACACATTAAGCTAGTTCAGTAGGGTTATTATTTTCACAGGCTGCCGAAAACATGTAAAAAAAATATGTTCCACGTCATGTATAATTTTTAGAATGCAATAGTGGGCTATTATTTATTCCCTCTCAAATGAATAAATGAATAAGTATTTTTAGATAATAATATTTTGTGCTTTTGAGGACTCAAGGAAACAAATGCTCTTTTAACTGCTATAGGATAGTAAATGTTGACACCTATCCAAATGGACACGGGGTCATGCTAATGTTAGAATTCTGCAACTCCACTAGGAATTTATCCTGTGTGCACAGTTGTAGTTGCAAAGATGCCCATGGCAACATTGTATATACTAGTAAAAGACTGGACTTCATCCTATATAATCAAGAGCTAATAGGCAAATGGTTGTCACGCCCTGGTGCCCTTGCACCAGGGCTGGGGGATCTGAGGCTGCGCGCCCCCCCCCCCCCCCCCCCCCCCGCCCTGTAGGACTTGATGGGGGTGGGGCCGGCCAGGTCTGGGTCTTGCACAATTTCGAGGTGCATGCAGGTGGGCGAGGACTTGACTCTGGGTCCTGCAGCACGCCCCAGACTCTGACAGGAGGGAGATTTTCGTATACATTTTACTAATTTTCTTTCATCTCTGACACTTCTATTATAGAGAAAGGGCAAATAGCAATATTAAAATACTTCCTCTAATTAATTCCCTTTTGATGTGCATGAATTTCGTGCACCGGGCCACTAGTGTGTGTGTGTGTGTGTGTGTGTGTGTGTGTGTGTGTGTGTATATATATATATATATATATATATATATATATATATAAATAAAAACAATGGAGGATCATTTGCAAAAACTATGATAAATCAATAGAATGTTAACTAGCCAGTAAAAATTAAATTGGAGAATACTTAATGACTTGGAGAATGTGTAGAATATTAATGTTTTTTTAAAGGTTAGAGAAAAGTATGTATGATATCAGTTTATTTTTGTAAATATATTTCTGTTTAAGAAAAATAAGATAGATATCGCTGTTAGGACTTTTTCTTATTTGTGGTTATCTGTCTCTGAATTTTCAGTGATACATGCATACTGTGATAAAGAGTCATAATTTTATACTGATATTAACAAAGAGTCTTTGCTAAGGGGGAGACAGCCTTGGTCGGTGATAAAAAGCGGAATGCGTGATTGCATAGCGAGTGCGACCAGGCCTGTGGACTGTGACTGGTGTTAACTGTCGGCCACAAGCTCCGAGGGGGCAGGCGGGTGTCTGCGGCGCCCGCGCTGGCCCTCAGCGAGGGCGAAGGGCACTCCCACAGGCGAGAATGAGTGAGAGCGAGCACCAGTCCTCCGGCCCCGAGGGTCTTCTGGCCGCTGCTCTCTAACGGAGCTCGCCTGCTTCTGCTGCGTTTCAGAGCCATCGAGAAGCTGAGCGGGCATCAGTTTGAGAACTATTCCTTCAAGATCTCCTACATCCCGGATGAAGAGGTGAGCTCCCCTCCGCCCCCTCAGCGAGCCCAGCGTGGGGACCACTCTTCCAGGGAGCAAGGCCACGCCCCTGGGGGCTCTTCTCAGGCCAGACAGATTGATTTCCCGCTTCGGATCCTGGTCCCCACCCAGTTTGTTGGTGCCATCATCGGAAAGGAGGGCTTGACCATAAAGAACATCACTAAGCAGACCCAGTCCCGGTACGTGCCTCCGGGGCTTCCTTTGCTTCCTTCTGAGGGGTCCCCTGAGTGCTGGGGGCCCAGCCATCCTCCAGTGGCTCTTGCTTGCGTCAGTGGGGGGCGGGGGGGGGGGGGGGGCTGTGCTGTATGGGACGGTGGCTTCTTTAAACAGAACTGTTAACAGACTAACAGAAAGCCGGGCTTTAATGAGCTTTCATGCCAGTTGCCGGAATGTTAAACCCTGAAACAGCAAAGGTTCATAAAGAAGGCACTAATGACCTCACAGCCCAGGATTGTTCTTATAAGCTAACTAATGCTTGTGATTGCATCTGTTTCTAAAACAGCAGAGGTATGGAGCAGAACTTTGTGGGATCCTTGAACCCACTTATCTGAGCCCTGACCGCCTCTCCTGAGGCAGAGCGCTGGGCGGTCATCATTCCCTGAGACCCGCCTAGATAGGCTCAGAAAAGCTACATCGGGGAGCGGATGGGTCGCTGCTATATTGAGCAAGAAATAAAGTATGTTAGCCTTACATTTAGTTTTCTGTCTAAGGAGACTGGACCGGTGGTAGGAGTTGTAGTGAGTAAAAAGACTTGTGGGGTTGTTGATTTTTCTGTGTTCATATGACCACAGCAAGATGTAACCAAGAAAGCACAGGACTTCAAAGCAAAGACCCTTGTTCAAGTTTTACCACGTAATGGCTTTATGATCTGGAAAAAATGTTCACCTCTCTGAGCATCAGTTGCTTCTTCTGTAAGCAAAGATTATTGTGAAAATTAGGACAGTCAGGCAGATTGAATGTAGTACAGACAGTCCTCGGGTTGCGTCGCCATCTCCCATTTATTTATTAAAAAAAAATAGTTCCGTCATTTCAATGTATGTACATATGTGCTTTATGTTTTTTATTATTTATTTACCACAAGTAAAGGTCAGGAATTGTTATCTTTCTTTAAATTTTTTTTTTTTTTTACTGTTTCACTTCATTGCTGCTGTGTGTGTGCTCCATGTGAGTGACGTAGGTGCTTATGTAGGTGGGTTCCGACTCACGGGGAAATACGTCGCGCCGTAGGAACGGATCTCCGACGTAACCCGAGGACCTACTGTAATTATGATGAAAGCACTTAAATTGCAAAGCAGCAGATTACTGACAATTACTTACATGCCTCGTGCATTTTATTCAGGCCATGGATAGAGTGTCTTGTGACATGAAAGAGAAAACACAATTTTTCTTAAAGCATCTGAGTTACTCCCAAATAATGGAAATTTATTTTGCATCCCAGAGTTCATTATCATGGGGGTGAAATAAAGGGACAGCAGAGAGGGGAAATACCCTTTTAAAAATAAAAGGGTGATCCTTGTATTTTAAAATCAGCCCTTTTTGTCCCCTCTAAGCTTTCTTCACTGTAAAGTGATTTTTACTTATATGTCTTTTTCGTTCAAAAAAAAATGGTTTAAAGTGGCTTTAAAAGTGCCACCCGTTTAAATAGAAGCAAGGTTAGTCTCAGTGTGTGTGCCCGTTTTTTTGGAAGTAGGCTGAAGACTTGGATCTGGGCTTTCTAACAGAGTAAAAGGGGATGCAATCAATTATGTGATTTTGAAAAATTAACAAAAACAAGTCGGGCCATGACTGCCTTGAGAAGCCTGATACAGTCATCAGGTCGCTGAGGCATGAGCTTTAAGAGCTGGAGGAAGGCAGGCTGCCAGTGGCAAGGAAACCAAAACTTAGGCAGAGCGAGGGATGCCTCTGCTTTCCCTCCACACTCAGATATCTAAAGCTCGCCTGAATTTGTGTTTGGGTTTGGATTAACACATGGCTTTAAAAAGCTGCCGTCAGTTCAGAGAGTGGCACTGTGCCGACGTGCAGTATTAACCCTGCTCACTTACTCCTCACTTCTACAGTCATCTGAAAGAGGGCGCAAAATACTTCATTTACCCAACTGGCTTCATTGACCAAGTTGGTCAGGGGCCCTTGTCTCACAGCACGCCGTCAGAAATACGCCCTGCTAAATGGAGCCGCAAAGAATTCGAGTTTGGCACAAGACCCCCTGCACTGCTTGCCGCCGTGGGGAATGGCACTGGTTGCAAACATGCTGATGAACACGCCTTGTCTGTCTGTGTCCTTGCTGTACGTTGGCTGATGTGGCCCCATCTTGGGACGAACTAGGATCCTGTCCCCGATGACGATGTGCTATGGCTCCTGATTCTTTTCCCACAGGGTAGACATCCACAGGAAGGAGAACTCTGGGGCCGCGGAGAAGCCCGTCACCATCCACGCCACCCCAGAGGGCACCTCGGAAGCGTGCCGCATGATTCTTGAAATCATGCATAAGGAGGCCGATGAGACCAAAATGTAAGTTTGCGTGCCATGTCCATGTCACTCAGCAGAGATTAAGAGTAGGTTCTCATTCATGGAACACAGTACTTTTTTTTTAAAGCTGTAACTCTTACTAAGTGAAAGGAGCAGGGAAGGATTATTTTTAAGGAATTTGTTTCCAAAGAGAATACAGTGGAAAACAGATCTTGTGCATTTAAAATATGGCGGTTTTCCCATTTGTATGTTTCTCCTGATGATCCTAATGCTTTCATCACTCACTGGTAATAATTATTGGTAGGAACACATAGACCAGTGCTGTCCAGTGTCATGCAGTGATGGGAATGTTCTCTCTCTGCCCTGTTCAATAAGATGGTGATTTGCTACATGTTGCTATTGAGTGCTGGAAATGTGACTAGTGCAATGGGGGAACTGAATCTTTTAATTTATTCAGATTTGAATCATTATATGTATGGCTAATGACTGTCGTGTTGTACAGTGCAGGTATAGAAGGTGCACTGTCATCAAAACCATCACTTACTATTCTGGGAAAGGTGTTTTTTGTGGGGTTTTTAAAATATGTTTTACTGATTTTTCACAGAGAGGAAGGGAGAGGGATAGAGAATCAGAAACATCGATGAGAGAGGAACATCGATCAGCTGCCTCCTGCACACCTCCTACTGGGGATGTGTCCGCAACCAAGGTACATACATGCCCTTGACCGGAATCGAACCTGAGACCCTTCAGTCTGTAGGCCGACGCTCTATCCACTGAGCCAAACCGGTTAGGGCCTGGGAAAGGTTTTTGTCATCTGCCCCTACACCACTTGCACGCTTTTAAAATTGAATTACATTTCCTTTAGTAGTAGACACTGGTAGTGTGGGTAGCTACTTTATTCTTCTTCCTTTCTGTTTTCTTCTGTCTCCTCCTTTTCTTTTACAAAATACTGCTTAGGACTCCTGAGTGTTGTATCCATTTGAAGGGCAAATACAGTTCTTACTAAAGCAATTGCATTTTTTAAAAAAATATATTTCATTGATTTTTTACAGAGAGGAAGGGAGAGGGATAGAGAGTTAGAAACATCGATGAGAGAGAAACATCGATCAGCTGCCTCCTGCACACCCCCTACTGGGTATGTGCCCGCAACCAAGGCACATGCCCTTGACCAGAATCGAACCTGGGACCCTTGAGTCCGCAGGCCAGTGCTCTATCCACTGAGCCAAACCGGTTAGGGTGCAATTGCATTTTTATTACAAACAAATTAGTGGTAATTGAATAGATAATTTAATAAGGGTTCTATGCAGTTTGGCAAAATTCACTTATGGGCATTGGTGGCACTTTCAGAGAAATGAATTGAATATAAAATTAATTTAGCAAATAATGTCAAATAAGAGTGCTCCAAAGCCAAAAAGAGGAAAGTAGTCCTAAAAGCAAACAAACAAACAAAAACACATTACAAATCTATTCTTAGATTTCATAAGGGACTCTAACCTTTCACTTATGAACAGTTAATTTCTTTTATTTACTGTATTGCAGGCTTTTAACGCCCCCCGCCCCAAATGCCATGGTTTAATTTGAAGAAGCTCCTCCCTCATCCAAGTTATTGAAAACTTAACACACTCTTTGGTCCTTCAACCTAGGTACCAAGCAACTTTCAATATTCTAAATAATTAACAAGACTGATTTATAAATTAGATATTTAAGTTTTTGTGTAGAGTCAAGATAGAGTTTGAATATCTTTGAAATAAATGTTTGGGTGGCCCACTGTGTTAAGCACTGTGTGGGGCTTGAGGCTACAGTCATGAACAAGACCCAGGCCTGCTTTCATGGAGCCTACAATCCAGTGGGAGAGATGGTCACTAAACAAGTAATCGCACCAGCATGTAGTGAAGCACAGCTATGAAAAGTGGTGATGGTGGGAAATGACTTTATTACTGGAAGCCCTAACCAAGGCTTCAGGGGAGATCGGAGGAGATTGGGGATTTCAGAGACAGCCTCTCTGTGAGCCCTGAGGGGGATGAGTAGGAGGTAGAGGTTGTAGGGGAAGAGGGATCCTAAACTTTCATTTTATTCATTTACCAAATATTGATTGAGTGCCTACTATGTGCCAGGCACTGCTCTATATGCCAGTGAACACAACTAACCTAAATAAATAAATAAATAAATATGCCCTGCCCTCCCAAAGTTACACTCTAGTGGAGCTTCTTCAAGCATCCATGTATTTTGAGGCAGTAATATGCATCTGTTAGATGCTCTTGATTTCAATAACAGAAAACGTAAGTGGCTTAATCAATAGGGAGCAATTATGATGCCACATAGTAGGAAGTCCTAAGGTCAGAAAACTCCAAGTTCATTTGGCGCATGGATTCAAAGACCCATGACTTTTCTTTCTACTTCACCATCTTCAAGGTGTCCGATAGCTTCCTGGTGATGACACGATGGCTGTGGTGATTTCAGACCTGTGTCCCCACAGGACACAGGATTCAGAAGCTGAAAGAGAAGGCATCTTTGCCTTGCTCTTTTCTTTTTTTATTGTGGCAATAAAACCACATAACATAAAAGTTACCATCTTAACCATTTTTCAGTATACAGTTCAGTACTGTTCAGTGTATTCACATTGTGAAACGGGCCTGCCTCTAGCACTTTCTCATCCTGCAAAACCGAAACTCGTTACCCATAAACAACAACTCCCCTTTTCCCTCTCCCTCCAACCTCTGGTAACTACCATTCTACTTTTTCTTTCTATGAAAGAAAGTGGAATCATACAGTACTTGTCTTTCTGTGACTCGCTTATTTCACGTAACGTAATATCCTCAAGATGCATCTGTGTTGCAGCATGTGACAGGATTTCGTGTTTTAGCTATTGTAAATAGTGCTGTCATTAACACACGTGTGCAAATATCTCTCTGAGGCCCTGCTTCTAACCCTTTTGGATATAGACCCAGAAGTGAGGTTGCTGGACTATCTGGCAGTTCTCTCTGAATTGTTTTGTGAAGCCTCCCCACTGTTTTCCATAGCAGTTGCACCACCACTGCATAAGGGCTCCAATCTCTCCAGATTTTCACCAACACTTGTTGTTTTCTGTTATTTTGTAGTAGATATATAATTGGGTGTGAGGTAGTATTTTGTATTCACAGTACCTCGTTGTCATTTGTATTTGCATGTCTGTGATGATCAGTGATGCCAAGGGTCTTTTTTATGCTTGTTGGCAGTTGTATGTCATTTTTAGAGAAATGTCTGTCAAGTTCTTTGCACAATTTTTAAACAGGTTATTTGATTTTTTTTTAATTGTTGGGTTGTAGGAGTTATTTATATGTTCTGGATATCAGTCCCTTATCAGATGCATAATTTGCAAATATTTTCTTCCACTCCATAGACCAGTGATGGCGAACCTATGACGCGTGTCACCACTGAACTCATTTTTTGGGTTGATTTTTCTTTGTTAAATGGCATTTAAATATATAAAATAAATATCAAAAATATAAGTCTTTGTTTTACTATGGTTGCAAATATCAAAAAATTTCTATATGTGACACGGCACCAGAGTTAAGTTAGGATTTTTCAAAATGCTGACACGCAGAGCTCAAAAGGTTCGCCATCACTGCCATAGACTGTCTTTTCACTTTTGATTGTGTTCTTTGATACAGAAAAAATTTTAAGCTTGATGTAGTTCCATTTGTTTATTTTTTTTCTTTTTTTTTAATGCCTGTGCTTTGGTGTCATAGCCAAGAAATCATTGCAAAAGTCCAATATCATGGAACTTTTACTCTGTGTTTTTTAAGTTTTACATTTAGGTCTTTAGTACATTTTGAGTTAATTTTTGTATATGGAATAAGATAAGGGTCCAGCCTCATTCTCTTGCTTATGCATACCTAGTTTTCCCAGCACTGTTGAAGAGACTGTCTTTTCCCTTTATGTATCCTTGGCACCCTTGCCAAAGATCATACGACCATATACTTGCGGGTTTGTTTCTAGGATCTCTGTTCTATCCCATTGGTTTATTTGTCTCCTGATGCCAGTGCCACACTGTTTTGATTACTGTGGCTTCGTAATATGTTTTTGAAATGAGGACATGCGAGTCCTCCCACTTCGTTATTTTTCAAAGTTGTTTTGATTGTGCAAGGTCTTTTGATATTCCATACAAATTTTAGAATGAATTTTTTTTATTTCTGCAAAAATTGTCGTTGGGGTTTTGATAGGAGTTGCATTGCATCTGTAGATTACTTAGGTAGTATGAACATTGAAACAATATTAAGTCTTCCAGTCCATGAATGCAGGATATCCTTCCATTGATTTCTGTTGTCTTTTATTTTTTCAGCAGTGTTTTATAGTTTCATTGTATAAGTCTTTTACTTCCTTGGTTACGTTTATTCCTAAATATTTTATTCTATGATGCTATTGTAAATGGAATTGCTTAATTTCATTTTCAGATTGTTTATTTTTTAGTAGATAGAAACACAACTGATTTGTGTGTGTAAATTGTGTATCCCATGATGTTGCTGTATTAGTTTATTGTAACAGTTTTTTGTGGAATCTTTAGAGTTTTTAACATATAAGGTAATGTCATTAGCAAAGAGAGATAATTGTATTCCTTCCTTTCCAATTTAGACACATTTTATTTCTTTTCCTTAACTACTTGCTCTGGCTGGGACTTCCACTCCTATGTTGAATGGAAGTGGTAAGAGCAAGCTTCCTTGTCTTGTTGCTGATCTTAGAGTAAAAGATGCCAGTCTTTCACTGTTGAATATGATGTTCACTGGGGGCTTTTCACAAATGGGATTTATTATGTTGAGGTAGTTTTCTTCTATTCCTAGATTGTTGTGTGTTTTTATCACGAAAATATATTAAATTTTGTCAAATGCTTTTTCTGTATCAAGGTGATCCTGTGGGTTTTGTTTCTCACTTTGTTAATGTGGTATATTACATTAATTGATTTTTATATGTTGAACTATCCTTGCATTCCAGGAATACATCCCACTTGGTCATAGTATATAGTCCTTACATGCTTTCAAATTCAGTTTTCTGGTAATTTTAAAAAGGATTTTTGCATCAACATTCAAAAATCAGGAATACTGGTCAGTAGTTTTGTTTGGTTAGTTGGTTTTGGCTTTTTTGAGGTGTCTTGTTTGGCTTTAGTATTAGAGTAAAGCTGACCGAATAGAATGAGCTTGGAAGTGTCCACTCCTCTTCAGTCTTTTGGAAGAGATGGAGAAGGATTCCTATTAATTAAGTCTTCTTTAAATGTTTGGTAGACTTCTTCAGGGAAGCTGTCAGGTCCTAGGGCATTTCTGTGTTGGAAGGTTTTGGGTTATTCATTCAATTTCCTTACTTATTATTGGTCTGTTCAAATTTCCCTTATCTTTTTTTAATCCTTACATGAGGATATGTTTTATTATTATTATTATTGACTTTAGAGAGAAAGGAAAGGAGAGAGAGAAACATTAATATAAGAGAAACATCCATCAGTTGCCTCCCATATGAGCCTTGACCATCTATAATTTTTATTGAATATATTGGGGTGACATTGGTTAATAAAATTACGTAGTTTTCAGGTGTACAATTCTATAATACATCATGAATATATTATATTGTGTGTTCACCACCCCAAGTCAAGTCTCCTTCCATCACCATTCCCCCCCCATACATTCTTGTACCTCTACTTTGTTATTGATGTCACAAATTATTATTTATGTATTATATACCCATTAACATAGATTTACCGTTTTTGTTTTTATCATTTAAATTTTATGCATCAAAGTTACTATAGTGTAGGTTATTGTATTTGTGTATTTTTTAAAAAGAATCTTATATTTTTATGACTTTGTGTTGCTATCTACTGTACTTTCATTTCAACTTAAAGTTTCTTGTAGAGCAATTCTAATAGGAATGAACTCTCTAAGCTTTTGTTTTCCTGGAAAAGTCTTATTTCTCCTTCATTTTTGAAGGACAATTTGCCAGATATGGTATTCCTGGTTGACAGTTTTTTCTTTCAGCAGTTTGAATATATCATCCCACTCCCTCCTGGCCTGCAAAATTTCTGCCGAGAAATCCACCGATAACATGGAAACTCCTAGGTATGTGACTAATACTTTTATCTTGCTGCTATCAAAATTGTCCTTCGTCACCCTAGCCAGTTTGGTTCAGTAGTTAGAGCGTTGGCCCACAGACTGAAAGATCACAGGTTCAATTCCAGGCAAGGGCATGTACTTCGGTTGCAGGCTCAATCCCTAGCCCCAGTAGGGTGCATGTAGGAAACAACCAATCAATGTGTCTCTCTCACGTCGATGTTAGTCTCTCTCTCTCTCTCTCTCTCTCTCCCTCCCTCCCTCCCTCCCTCCCTCCCCCTCTCCTTCCCCCCTCCACCTCTCTCTCTCTCTCTCTCTCTCTCTCTCTCTCTCTCTCTCTCTCCTCCTCCTCCTCCTCCTCCTCCTCCTCCTCCTCCTCCTCCTCCTCCTCCTCCTCCTCCTCCTCCTCCTCCTCCTCCTCCTCCTCCTCCTTCTCCTCCTCCTCCTCCTCCTCCTCCCTTCCACTCTCCAAAAATCAATGTGGGGGAAAATGTCCTTGGGTGAGGATTAAAAAAAAGAAAAGAAAAAAGATTGTGCTTTGTCTTTTGTCTTTGGCTTTAGACACGTGGGTTACAATATGTCTCAGTGTAGTTCTCTTTGGATTTATCCTAGTTGAAAGAGCATCTTGAATCTATATGTCCATTTCTTTCCTCAGATTTGGACAGGTTTCCATCATTATCATCATTTTTTTTTAATAAGCTCTTTGCCCCTTCTCTTTCTTCTCCTTGTGGATTCCCATGATGTGTATATTATCACTATAGTGTCCTTTAGCCTCTCTTTGCCTTCCTGTATTCTTTTTTCTCCTCTTGATTTCAAATGATCAGTCTTCAAGTGTGCTGATATTTTTCTTGTGCCTGTTTATGTCTGCTATTGAACCTTTTAAATAAAAATTTCAGTTTAGTTTTGTAATCTTTAGCTTTATTATTTGTTAGGTTGGTTTTTTATAGTTTCTGTCTCTTTATTGATTCTTATTTTGTACATACATCATTTTTCTGATTTCATTTAGTCGTCTGGTCTTTTTTAGGCCATTGAGTAGCTTTATGACAGTTTTTCACATTCTTTGTCAGGTAGTTCATAGGCCTGCATCTCTTTAGGATCCGTTTCTGGAGTTTCATTTTGATCCTTTGGTTAGTCATTGTTTCCCTGTCTCTTTGTATGTCTTGTAGTGTTTTTGCTGGAATTGACAACCACCTCTCAGTCTTTGCCTCCTGACTTCATTCAGGGGAAGAACTTCGCTAATGAGTCTGGCTGCAGGTTCTAGATCTCTCAAACCTTTTTGATCTCTTTCTCCCCCTGGCTTCTGACTGTGTAACTGCAGCTCTAACATACTGGTTACGTCTGTTTTCACCACCTTCCACACTCTGGTGCCAGTCTCGTCAGCCCTCCAAGTCAGGAGAGACAGGAACCAATGTCTTGGGTAGCCCCCAGACAATCCAGAATGTTGGACTCATACTCCGTTCTTTTGTTTTTGTTTTAAAGGGAGGAACCCTGGTATGAAGGATTGCTTCTTAGTTGCTCCTGACTATGCTGTGTAGGGGAAGGAACATGAGCAGGCATGCCAGATACCACAATTTTCCTTCCCCTTTTGCTGGAATTTCTTCTTGGTTTTATAATAGCCTGGGTGCTATAGCTCTCAGTTGATCTCTAGGGTTCTCACAGAGGTATTAGTCTGTTGTTAACTTGGTATCTCTGGGGGGAGGGGGGGCGGGGCGGGGAGGGTAGGAGGACGTGAAGCTTTCTGGTTTGTCATCTGACTAATGTCATTAACCCTTGTACCTTTTTTAAAAATATATATTTTATTGATTTTTTTACAGAGAGGAAGGGAGAGGGATAGAGAGTTAGAAACATCGATGAGAGAGAAACATCAATCAACCGCCTCTTGCACACCCCCTACTGGGGATGTGTCCGCAACTGAGGTACATGCCCTTGACCGGAACCAAACCTGGGACCCCTTAGTCTGCAGGCCGACACTCTATCCACTGAGTCAAACTTGCCAGGGCAACCCTTGTACCTTTTTAAGAGCAAGGAAAGCCTTCCTAAAGTCACCTAACGGATTTCTCCTTATATCCCATTGGCCATATCTACCTCTTGGACTTACTCCCAATCAGGCACAGCAGGGGAGTATAATCATCATGGCTTGTCTTATGTTAATGAGAATTCATGCACTGGGATTAGTAAGGGACTCCTCTCCTAAAACTCATTACCACTTGGTACCTGAACAAAACAGCTTCTATTTGTAAGAAAAACAAAAGAAGGTAATAGCCTTTGGGGAAGCAATCACCTTTTCCACCTTAAATGTTAACTTGTTGGTTGTCTTTTTTAGAACTGAAGAGATTCCTCTGAAAATCTTGGCCCACAATGGCTTGGTTGGAAGACTTATTGGAAAAGAAGGCAGAAATTTGAAGAAAATTGAACATGAAACTGGGACCAAGATAACAATTTCATCGTAAGCCACCTATTCAGATTCATTGTGCCCAGTAATGGAGAATTTGGTCATCTTGCAATGCCCAGTTCATTCATCTGCTTTTCTATAAAATGGGAGTATAATCAGAAGTCACATAGTTATCTCCAAAACTATAAAGACAAATACATAAATAGTCACCAGTCAGACATTTTACTATAGATGTGATCTGTCACTAGCAAGATTTGAGATAAGGCGGTAAGTGTTCTGTACTTCAGTGTGTGGTGAGGAAATTCGGTCTTCTCCCCACCGTCTCCACCAAGACTTGTTTGTTATCCTCTGGGATTTATTTCTCCTTATGATAAAAGCAAATTCCTGTTTTTTTCCCCTGGTGGCCAGCTTGCAGGATTTGAGCATATACAACCCTGAAAGAACCATCACTGTGAAGGGAACAGTCGAGGCCTGTGCCAGTGCTGAGATGGAGATTATGAAGAAGCTACGTGAGGCCTTTGAAAATGACATGCTGGCTGTAAATGTAAGTGCCTAATGCTTTCTTCTCCTGGTTTTCACATGTTTTTCGGTAGAATTCAAGCCTCTCTAATAATAGTTGTCCTTCAGATAGAGAATAAACATCTTTTAATAGGTATGCAGAGTTATTGCTGCCTTCTTGGAGCAAGGGCATTGAACTAATCACGAGACCATTATGATAAATGCACTGGACAAAATAGTGTGAAACTGTTAAAATCATAACTGAAAATTTTAAAATAAGGAATCGTCTATGATATAATGTTAGTAAAGAAAAGTATATAAAAGTGTATAAAATTGGAGTTATAATTATGTAAAATAATATGTATCAAAATGACGGAAGGCTACATATAAAAATAGCTTTTATATTAGGAAGGTGGGTTTTTTTCCCCAGTTTCCAATTGTAAAAGTAAATACTTTAAAATGAACTTCTGATTTTCATCTCTTGCTTAATGATCTGCTCTTTTAGATTACCTAGTAAATACTGTCAACCACCTCAGCTTTAATATTCCTGACAGACTGATTTGGGTTTATCTTTCCTATTATTGCTATGTAGTTCCCATTTTATAATAGGAAGACACCAGTCTGGCATAAGAAATTTTAAAAGTATTTGTCCATTGCCAAAACTCAACTCAGTAAATGTTTTTATTTTCTATAATAATGATTTTCTAACATATATTGAAGAGGAAAGGATGCTGTAATGCGTCCTCCTAATCCCATAATCCAGCTTCCACGGTTATCAACTCATGGCCTGTTTTGTTTCATCTAAACCATCATCATCCACTGCACCTTCCCCCCTCTTTGGATGTCCTTGCAGCAAATCCTAGGCCTGGTAACATTTCAGAGGAGTAAAGCTGACAAAGAGCTGTGTAGGTTCAACGCAGTTCCCTCCCTGCAGCACATCCCACAGCACCTACCCCCTTCCTCAGGTCAGTGCTTGCTCTCCCACCTGAGCAGCCACATCACGTGGCACTTGGGAGACATGACGAGAAGTGTGACCTTCTCTCCCCATTTGTGTGTGTTTGTCTGTAGAAGTGTCATTAGCATCCAGTGATCTCATTATCTTCTTTCGGGATCCTGACATCTTACAGGAAACATCTCTTTCTGTGAACACCCAGAAAAGCTACGAAAGGGTCTGGGTGCTCCACTCGTCATCACCTGAGCCCGCCACGTAGATTCATTCATGTCTGTACCAAAGTCAATAGCAAAACTACTAGATCTTACATATCCAGTTGGGTAAAGGTTAAGGACCCCAGCCCTCCTGTTCCAAACATTCTAAAAGAAGGCAAGCTGGTAAGCGACCCTGGCCGCAGAAAAGAAGGAAGATGTTAGAGATCTGCTTAGGGTTTGAGGAGACAAAGGCAGGAGAAGGTTGGACACAGGCCAGGGTGAGTGACTACCTCTGTCTGCCTTTGATGGGCTGTGTAGTTAAAGTTCGACTCTATCCCTTTTGCGGCCACCGCTGAAGTGCCAGCGGCCGATGAGTTCAGACCCTTTTGACTTCTGACCAGAGGAGGAACCATAAAAGGCATTTCAAAGCACCTTCCCAAATTCACAGGGAGATTATCTTCTCTTCCCAAAGAGCTGAGACATTAGTACAGTGTTCCATCCACGCCCGTCCTAAAGGATGATGAAGTTCAGGTTTAAGGACACTACAAAGAGCAGCAAATTGGCAAAGTTGTCCAGGTTTACAGGAAGGATGTGCCATCTACGTTGAACGAGTGCAATGGGAGAAAGCGAGCGGTACAACTGCTCATGGGGGCATTCACCCCAGCAAGGTGGTTATCACTAGACTAAAGCTGGACAGAGACCACGAAACAATCCTTGAACGTAAAGCCAAATCTGGCCAAGTAAGAAAGGAAAGGGGCAAATACCAAGAAGAACAATTGAGAAGATGCAGAAATAAAGTAATCTTGTATGCAACTTTCATGAAAAACTATTAAAATGGGTGATGGGGCGGGAACGCCTCAACTCTAGCCTATGGGAGCGTCCCCATGTTTGAATGTGAAATAAACAAGCAAGTGAGATGATCACGAAGCTGGTAACCAAATGGTGAGAAGGCCAAAGTTGTGAACCATTCTGCACCTGGACACAGAGATTCCATAGGTGGTGTCTTAGATAGAGTTAGGAAACAACTGTTAATCCAGTATGTGTTAAACATATCCATTCAACAAGTATTTATCGAATACTTACTGTGTACCAGGCACTGAGCCCACACCACAAGACAGTCTCCATGCACAAGTAAATTATGTCTGAAAGGGGAAGAGGTACCTACGCAGGTGATCCACATACCATGTGGGGAGTGCTCTCTAAGGAAATGTAGGAATGTAAGCACAGAAAGGGCATGTGGATGAGGCCTTCGGGGTGAGAGAAGGCTTCCCCGATGAGGGGACACCTACGCTCAGGTGAAACCCACGTGATGAGTAGGACTCAGCCAGGTGAGGAGTGAGAGAAGCACGTTCCTTGCAGGGTGGACAAAGTGTACTGGGGCCCAGAGGTGGGAAGCACAGGATTGGCAGGTTGGGGAGGAGGGGTTGGCAGCAGAGAGGCTGGTGGTGTGGCCTGGGCCCCCAGGAAGAGCCTCATTTGCTGCTGAGATGTGTAGATACTCTCAAGGGTGGCAGAGAAACTTTGGAGGAACATCGTAGTCACGTTGAGGTTTGGAGAGCCCACCCCAGCAGCAGGGTGGGGAAGAGGGTGCAGGGCTGGGGCAGAGCTCGTGAGGAGTCCCTGGTGCCACGGTGGCAGGAGATGGAGGTTGACCCTGGCAAGCCGGGACTCTGCTCGCCTCCCCTCATCTTGTTCTCCATTTCTGTTCCCAGCAACAAGCCAACCTGATCCCGGGGTTGAACCTCAGCGCACTTGGCATCTTTTCAACAGGATTATCTGTGCTGCCTCCACCCGCGGGGCCCCGAGGACCTCCCCCTCCTCCTCCCTACCACCCGTTCGCTGTAAGTAGTCAGCTTCAGAGGGTTGCTCGCGCTCTGGGCACCTCCAGGCAGCAGCATGGCTCTGCTGTGTTGCTCAGAGCTAAAGCTTGAACGTGGAGGCCTTGCTCATAAGTGACCGTAGGAGGAATCCAGCCTGTTTTAGACTTCTTCCTAATGGACAGATTGATATTATTCCACCTTCCTCTAAACATGTACTATTAAATATAATAGGAAAGAAAGAATCCATTAGCAAAGACATTCACTAGAAGCCTGTTGATTGTAAAAAAAGGATTTGTTTGTTCAAATAAGACTCTTCTGAGTGCTGTTCATTCATTAAAATGCTAGGCTAGCCCTAGCCGGTTTGGCTCAGTGGGTAGAGCGTCGGCCTTTGGACTGAAGGGTCCCCGGTTCGGTTTCGGCCGAGGGCACATGCCTGGGTTGCAGGCTCCATCCCCAGTGTGGGGCGTGCAGGAGGCAGCCCATCAATGATTTCTCTCACCATTGATGTTTCTATCTTTTCCTCTCCCTTCCTCTCTGAAATCAATAAAAATATGTCTTTAAAAATAAATAAAATGCTAGGCTACCTGGATCTCTCTTTCCCACCTATGTCTGCAACTCAAATGCATTCTATTTTAATACTAGGCAGATTTTAAAAGAAAATAATACACAGTGTTTCAAAATACTTAGAACAATGCCTGGCGCTTAGTGGGCTCTCAGTAACTTGTTTGAATCACATTTAATAAAAGAAGAAGAAATGGGAAGTTACGAGTTTTCTGCTTGTTGCCTGCTTGCTGCTCCCACTCACGAGCCTTGTTCAGAATCAGGGCATCACCAAAGTGGGGGAGGGGGGCAGGATACTTGCCAGCTGGTTTTTTGTTTTTTAATATATTTTTATTGATTTCAGAGAGGAAGGGAGAGGGAGAGAGAGAGAGAAACATCAATGATGAGAGAGAATCATCAATTGGCTGCCTCCTGCACGCCCCCCACCGGGGATCGAGCCCACAACCCGAACATGTGCTCTGACCAGGAATCGAACCATGACCTCCTGGTTCACAGGTCCACTGAGCCACACCGGCTGGGCTACCAGCTGATTTTTTATTCTGAACTCTACACATACAGCTATTCTTAAAGCAAACTTTCTCTCCCCCAACATTAATACTGTTTAATGGGAAGAATCCAGTTGGTGAACATAACCTTAGCCACTCCTTTCTTTCTAGTGCTTTGGGTTATCTGTAGAGAGACGGGATAAACCTGCTCTGCTGTTTTACCAACAAAATACCGACATGAGTGGCAGCCATGTCCTTAGTCACAAGAACTTACACATTTCTGCAATCTGTTTATACACAGATCTGAGGCATTTCTAAATCTCTATACCATTTATTTAAAATGATATCCATTTTCCCTTAAACTAAAGGATAGGGCCCAATATTAAGCCGTGTGTGTGTGTGTGTGTGTGTGTGTGTGTGTGTGTGTGTGTGAGAGAGAGAGAGAGAGAGAGAGAGAGAGAGAGAGAGAGAGAGAGAGAAAAGAGAGAAGAGAGAGAAGAGAAGGAACAAAAGCTGGAGATGAGACAGGAGGGATTGTTGATGTTCCCAGGAGCAAAATGGCTACAAGAGGGGCACTTCCTCATATCTTTGCTATGAGATTTGAGAATGAATGAGTTTGGCACAAGTCAGTGGCATTGAGACACACCTCATTTCTTAGGAGAAAGACTGTATATACTGCCTACAGAAGGTAACGTAAGGCCAGGCTACCCTCTCAACCTAAATACTTAAATGGGGGTGGGGGGAGATATAATAAAACAAACCACTTCTAAAATCGATCATCTAAAATGGGAGTCATCCTCTGTATTTTTCATCTTTTTCTTTTTTGTTTACTTTTTAAAAAATATATATTTTATTGGTTTTTTTACAGAGGGGAAGGGAGAGGGATAGAGAGCTAGAAACATCGATGAGAGAGAAACACCGATCAGCTGCCTCCTGCACGCCCCCACTGGGGATGTGCCCGCAACCAAGGCACATGCCCCTGACCGGAATCGAACCCGGGACCCTTCAGTCCACAGGCTGATGCTCTATCCACTGAGCCAAACCGGTTAGGGCCATCTTTTTCTTAATGATTTGTAACAACTGTTCACATATTAAGGCTCTTAACCATTTGTCATATGGTAAATTTTTTTTTCAACAGTTTATCATTTCTCTTCGCTTTATTTGTGGTGTCCTGTGCCATAATAATTTAAAATAAATATATTGTGAACAAACTATTGCATGAAGTAAAATGTAAATGTTTCCCTTCAGCCTTCCTTCTCTTACCCAAATTTTACCCACCAACCATTCTCCAGAAATATAACACTACTATGTTTACATATATTTAAAATATTTCCTCAGCATATATACAATCATATTATTGAAAAATACAAATGGAGTGAATTAGAAGTTATTTTTTATGTTTTATCAGCATCTTTCCATAGCTGGACCTAATTCTCCTTACTGGTTACATAGTATTCCATTGGATGAATTTATTACAGTTTTTCTGATCACATGGTTTTTAGACATTTGGATTGTTTCCAGGTTTTCTTTGCTACAGAGCGTGTAGAAATGAATATCTGTATACAAAAGCCTTTGCACAAGTATGTGAATATGAAAATTCTCTAAGATTACAGTTACTACATCAAAGGGGAGGTGCAATTTAAATTCTCACAGATTTCCTGTCAACAGAATTCGTGTGAAAATGTTAAGAATGAAGGTAGCTAAATCAGTGATGTTCCCTTTATGGATTCCTTGCCTCTGATGTCATGCTAAGGAAGGAACCTTTTCCCATCCCTGTGTTTACTTATAGTAATTTTTAGTTGCTGGTTTGGGGGAATTGTTGCTTATATTTACATCTGTAACTACTAGGGAATTTATTTTGACTTATACTTTGAGATAGGAACCTGGCTTTGTTTTTGTTTTGTTTTTCCCCAAATGGATAGCCAATTTCCCCCAAAATCATTTATTGAATAATGTACCCTTTTATCACTCAACTTGAAATGTCAGCTTTGCCATGCACTGAACTCCCACTTAGTCATTCCTGGACTCTGTCCCATTACTCATTTTGTTTTTACACTGTGATTACTATAGCCTTATATTCTCTGGACAGTTTTAACAGCAGGCTTCTTCTCTAAGAATGAATGGGAGAGATGACTAACTTTTACTACACTTGGGAAATTAACGCATATGTAGGTATTTTCTGTTTCTTGAAGATTTGATAAGACCTATCTGTGAAACACCTCAGCCTCTAGCACTCGTAAGCTATATGATTTCTCTAAGTTGCTGGCATGGTTTTGTTGATTTATCTTTTTCTTAAAAGTATTCATTCCAGCCCAGCCAGCTTGGCTCAGTGGTTGAGCTTCGACCTATGAAGCAGGAGGTCATGGTCCATTTCCCAGTCAGGGCACTTGCCTGGATTGTGGGCTCGGTCCTAGTTTAGAGCAGGTACAGGAGGCAACCGATTGATGCTTCTCTTTCACATCAGTGTTTCTCCCTCTCTCTCTCTCCCCCCTTCCTCTCTCCCTGAAAGCAATGAAAATATACCCTTGGATAAGGATTAAAAGAAAAAGAATTAACTATACCTTTATTGGTTTCTTTGCTCACTGTAGACAGTTCTTACATTCCATATTCTCTAATTTTTTTTTTTTTTGAGTTGTTCGTTTGTTTGTTTGGAGTACTGCCTCAAACAATTCTTTTCAGGAATCCTATCTAATAAAACAGAAACATGGTAATTGGCGTACGACCGCTACCCTTCCCATTGGCTAATCAGGGAGATATGCAAATTAACTGACAGCCAAGATGGCGGCCGGCAGCCAGGCAGCTGGAAACTAACATGAGGCTTGCTTACTTCAGTGATGGAGGAAGCCAAAGCTTCCCCGCCTGCCTTGCCGGCCTCTCAGCTGCACTCTAAGCAACTATGTTACAAAAATAGAAGCTAAACAAAACCCCAGGCTTCAGCCAGCAGGACCGCAACATTGTTTCAAATACAGAAGGGTAAACAAAGGCCAGAAACCTGCTTTCAGGAGTGGAAGTCTCATAGCTGGAGCCGAGCCTCAGAGCTAAAGCTGGCCCAGAATGAAAAAAAAAGGAAAAAAGGACAGGTTGGGAGCTTCAGTCACCCGTAAGCCTGAAAACGGCCCTCAGCCCCTCACCCAGGCTGGCCAGGCACCCCAGTGGGGACCCCCACCCTGATCCAGGACACCCTTCAGGGCAAACCAGCCAGCCCCCACCCATGCACCAGGCCTCTATCCTATATAGTAAAAGGGTAATATGCCTCACAGCACCGGGATCAGCGGAGCAGCGAGGCCTCCTGGAACCGGGATCAGCGTGACAGGGGGCAGCGCCCAAACCCCCTGATCGCCCTGCGGCTCTGTGTGTGACAAGGTGCGGCGCCTCAATCCCCCCCCCCCCCACCACCACGGGCCCTGCTCTGTATGTGGCGGGGTAGAGCCATAACCTCCCCATCGGCCCTGCCTGAGTGTGACAGTGGCGGCGCCCCAACCCCCTGATCCACCCTGCTCTGTGTGTGACGGGGCGGTGCCCCAACTCCCCTATCGGCCCTACTCTGTGAGTGACAGGGGGGAGCTCCTCAACCCCCTGATCAACCCTGCTCTGTGCGTGACAGGGGGGAGCTCCCCAACCCCCTGATCGACCCTGCTCTGTGTGTGATAGGGGGCAGCGCCCCAACTCCCCAATCGGCCCTGCTCTGAGCCCGACCAGGGGCTGCACCTGGGATTGGGCCTGCCCTCTGCCACCCGGGAGCGGGCCTAAGCCAGCAGGTCGTTATCTCCCGAGGGGTCCCAGACTGCGAGAGGGCACAGGCCGGGCTGAGGGGCCCCCCACCCCCACCCCAAGTGCACAAATTTTTGCGCACCGGGCCTCTAGTAATACATAAGTAGTATACTTTCTAAACCTTTCTGTGTCTGAAAATTCCTTTCTGATTCCCTCACACAGGAATGGAAGTCCAGCTGGATATTTGGAAGTTCTAGGGCCATAGTTCCTCTAGCATTTTGAAAACATTTAGCATCTCATTTTAAGTGTGCTACTCCCCTGATTCTCTCTTTTGTAGGGAACTTTTGCCCTTCTGTCTGAGGGTGCTCTGCCTTTGTATTATTTTGCCTTTACCCCTGGAATTCAGAAATCTGAATCTGAGCACTTTGATCTGAAGATTCAAGTTTTTCTTTGTTCAGGAAAGTCTTTTGCTTCTCTTACTAATTCCAGCATTGCTTCTCCTAATTCCACTCTGTTTTCTGCTTCTGGAGTTTCCAATTTATGGATAGTGGATCCTCTCATTCTACCATTCTTGCCTCTAATTCCCTTTTTGTTGTGAAGGGGTTAACCTACTAATGCACCAGTTGGCTTTTCAGGAATGTCTGTTCTGCACATATGAGCACTTACTTGTGATAAAACGAGTGGCTTATCCAAGCATACTTTCTATTTCCCATCGGCCCAAGCTTACATGGCATCAATCATCTCAAGTGGGAAAGCACTTTTCCATATGAATATATATATGGCTTTTATTGAGTTTTTACTTCTCTAGTCATGTTTTTAATTTCCAAGATCAATCTACTTCTCTGATTGGTCTTCCCTCATAGCAGTCTACTCAAGCACTGTCCTCTTCAATCTCACTAGGAATGCAGGTGACTCTTAAAAAAAAAATTCTCCCCCCTTTCTGAATTAATTCACTGGGGTCATTTGCTTGCCTCGCTCCCTCTTTCATGCTGCTGATTCTCTACATACATCTGATGAGTTTTCATTTTTCATTCATGTATTCAATAAACTCAACAGACTCTAACATCTAAATATATTAGAGCTTTTTCAAAACTTGCACCCTGGGCCTCCCGACCCAGTGAATTCGGAATGTTCCGGGAGAGCAGTGCTGGGTGCAGTGCTCAAGGTCCCAGGCTGCAGAACGAGACAGATCTGTGCTCAGATCTTGGCTCTGCCTCACGCTATCTTACCCGGTCCCTGTCAGCTCCAGAGGTTGTCCTAGGTGAGCTCACAGAAGGAATTAGGAGGTGCTTTAACAAGCTGGGTAGAACGGTGCACCTTCAGAGTCTTGGAGAGCTCTGTTCAGGACCCTAACCCGTTTGTCCAAGTCTACTGCCCTTCCCAGGCCCGTGTCCATATCCCTCTGCCACGTGGCATCACGCTGTCATCATACTGAAAACTGTTCAGATTTTTGAACATAATTTGTATGCCGGACCGTTGCCCTCTCCACTCACCCTCTCTCCCACCTCCCTCTCCACACTGATTTCTTCATGCTGCAGAGTGTCACCTACATCATGTGTCAGATGGTCCCAGGAAACAGCTTGGAATGAAGAACCCTATAGCTCTTCCAGGAAAAGTAGGCCCAACTGTTTAAATTTCCCTTTTTAAGGTTCAAAAGTGTGTTTGGTATATACTCTCTACCTGCCGCCCCAGCATAGTCAAGCATAGAAGCAGACACCAGGTCCCCTCTGACTCAGAACTTGACATGAACCATGGATAATAATGACCATGGCAGGCGGTGGGGCACCCCTAGCAGTGGCACCTTCCCCATCACACCTCTCCCGTCCCCAGGGTCATAATGCTTTTGAAACACTAAAAAATAGAGTAGATTCTCCATCATAAAATAGCTCAGGACCCTCCAACTGAGACAGTGAGCCCAGCTGCCATATTGGGGTTGGGGCTGCACTCTGACCTCCCTGCTCCCGGGGGCCTCGGTCCATCAGATGGCTACAACCTGCTTTCCCACTAAGGGAAACATGTATTTAGGTCGTCAACAGGTTACTTTTCTGATCGTTATGACTAAGCACGTTTTGAAAGTCCTTTCCCACTTGAGATGATCGATGCCATGTAAGCTTGGGCCGATGGGAAATAGAAAGTATGCTCGGATAAGCCACACGTTTTATCACGAGTAAGTGCTCATTCAATACCCCTGCATTTGGCCATGCAATGCCTGGTGACAGATTCTTCCTCCTGCAACCTTATGGAATGCCACGTAACATCCTCCAGGGGTACCCGTTATACTTGGGGCCAATCCATGTCCACACCTGGGCCGACAGGGCCCTGCGTGATCCCGCCTGCCTGCCTCCCCATCATACCCTGCTGCGCTTTTATTCGCTTTTGCGCTACTGGCCTCCTTTCTGTTCTTCAAACAGGCCAACCCCTTTTCTAGCTCTGGACCTCTGAGAATCGAGCTTCGAATGTTCCCTTCCCCATGCCTTTCCCAAGGCTCCATCCCCTCCCAACTCGGAGGCTACCCCTCCAGGGGTCTTCCCGGACCCCTCTAGCTAAATCACCATCCCATCCCTCATCCCGCAGCTCCCCTTCCTCACACCGCCCTATTCATTTTCTTCACAGTAACTGCCTCCCCAGTAGAACGTAAGACCCATGGCAGCAGTGTGACCTTCTCTGTCTGAATAGCTGTGTCCCAGCACCTAGAACAGTGCTTCACACATAGGAGGTGCTCAAATCTCTTTTGCATGAATGGGTGATTGGCCCCTCGCCAGTGTGATAAGACCTACATGTCCTATTTTAGTCCATCTGTGCGTGAGGATCGGAAAAGCTGAATAAATTCCTACAACTTGTAAAGAGCTAGTGGTTCAGCCTGGGGCCTTCTGACTCCAAAAGCCCCCTTTTGTACACACAGGCCAGCGGCAGAGCCTCCGGGAAGACCGGCTCCTGATTGCAGAGTCCGGGGCTCTTCCCGCACAGTCTTCTAAGCTGTGGTAGCTCACGAATAACACGGGAGCGGGGAATCTGTTCTCTTTATCCTTTTAAAGCTCATTCTCTCCCCTAACCCAAGTGGTAGGTCTACATTTAGCAGTGTTCATGTTTGAGAGAATTTGAACCCGGAATAGCAGCCACACTGTGCAGCCTGTGTGTTCTTGACCTCACATGAGTTTCTGGAAAAGGCAAATTGCAATTGAAAAGAATTACTTCTGCTGTGAGGGCTGTCCAGGTGGGAAGAGGACAGAAGTGTCCTTACCCCAAGCTAGAGCTTTGAGCAGAAAACCTGCAGCAATTCTGCCCCCACCTGCTATGGCCCAGGGCAGCCCCCAGAACAGGGTCCTGCACAGACAGGGGTCTGGAGCTGATGCTCCAAGAAAAGCAGGACCAAGTGAGCCAAACCATTGGAGGTGTGCAAGAGAACGGCGGTCTCCTAGCCCCCTCTTGTGGGTATTAGGTGTCACTGCAGCCTCTTTCTAAGTCACGAAAGCAAAGGCTTGTACAACTACAGTGATGGGTCGCTTCTGTAAGCCCCACAGGTGCTCTGGGCACCTAGAACACCTTTGGGAGGCACTCCCCACAGAGATTGCACCTCTCTTTCTCTGAGGCCAGTCTGCTTTCCAAGCTCAAACGGGGAACAGTTTCATTTTGTCCCTAATGTGCCATAGGCAAAGTTGTGATACGGAGCTCAGAATCCGGCTGGAGATTCAGGAGACGAGGAAACCAGATTTGCTCAAGGGCCCTCAAGTGAAAGCTGGGACCCTTACTCCCCGTGTCTGACCACTGTTGGAATGGGTTTCCTGGGAGGTTTCTCACGGGCAGGCGTGAGGGATTGGTGGCCAGAGCCCAGCTTTCCTCTGATGGGCATGTCGGCGTTTCCATGGCTGTGTGTAAAGCACATTTAACCTGACTTTGGTAACTCTGGCCAATGTCCTGCCTAAAAGAATATGCAAAATAAGCCCTGGTCGATTAGAGTGGCCGCCTGTGGACCAGAGGGTCACAGGTTGGATTCCTGGTCAAGGGCACATACCTTGGTTGCAAGTTTGATCCCCAGCCCCGATTGGGGTGCATGTGAGAGGCAGCCAATTAAAGTCTCTCTCACATAGATGTTTCTCTCTCCCACCCCCCCTCCTTCTTCCTCCTTTCCACTCTCTTTCTTAAAAAAAAAAATAGAAAAATATCCTTGGGTGAGGATTAACTATATATATATATATAAAGAGCCAGGGGCAGTCACATCCGAAACAACTGAACAGGTTGAGTCGGGTGACAAGGCCGACAGGAGGGTTAGTGAGGGACAACCAAATGACTGAGCAGCAGGCTGTGTGGGGCAACCAGGCCAGCAGGAGGGGCAGTAAGGGGCAACCAGGCTGGCGGCCGGGGGGGGGGGGTTGGGGGCAGTTAGGGGCGACCAGGCTGGTTGGGGGGCAGTTGGGGGTGACCAGGTTGGGGGTGGGTGGTGCAGTTAGGGGCGGTCAGGCAGGCAGAGGCAGTTAGGGGCAGGCAGGCAGGTGAGCAGTTAGGAGCCAGCGGTCCCAGATTGGAGAGGGTGCAGGCTGGGCTGAGGGGAACACCCCCCCCCCCCCGTACGAATTTTGTGCACCGGGCCTCTAGTATATACATAAAATCAGACATATATCTGTTTCCAGGACTATTGTGAGGATTAAAAGTGTTTCAGAGTAGATGTAAAGTATCTGTCAGAGTGCCTAGTGCAAGTAGGTTTTCAATAAAAAAAGCAGCTCCTTTGAAATGTAATTCTCCTAAAGCCCGTTTTCTTCTATCCACATCTGCCCTCCTGTCCCCTGCCTCCCCTTCCCCACGCTCACACACATGTATTTATTCATTCTCTTCCTCCTTCAGTCTGTTTTTAAGTTTCTCTTTTCTCAGCCTCCCCATTCCTTCTGAAACGCTGTGATGAGCTCACTGATCTGATTTCCCAGGAGCATCTCTGCTTGTTCTGTGTGACCCCTTGCATCGTGTGGGTGTGTGTGTGGGGGGTGTGCGTGTGGGGGAGGGGGCGTGCGCCCGCGTGTACTCGCTCCCGTGGTAAGTTCCTAGGAGTCAGAAACATCTCAGCTAAAAATGCTAAACCCTCGGCCGGCCCAGCGCTCTGAGGGGAAAGGCGGTGCAGGGATCCCAGTGCCGCCGGAAGGTGTGCGGTGGGACCGTGAGCCTGTGTTGCCGGGGGTAACCTTGCTCCCCCGAGTTTGGTGAGTGTCCCGAGGGCACGGCTGACTGGCCCTTTCTCTCCTGCTGCAGAGCCACTCCGGATACTTCTCCAGCCTGTACCCCCCTCACCAGTTCAGCCCGTTCCCGCATCATCACTCCGTAAGTGCCCCTCGCTTCAGCCCACCGCCCCTCCCCTCTGGCTGGCACCACGTCGTCCTGGCGGACTGAGCAGTGAATGTCCGCGGTGTGCCCGGCGCCTGCCAGGCGTGTGCTCCAGGTCGCCCGGGAATGGCCCGCCACAGGGTCCGCGCACCCGGCCTGCGCTCTAATGCGCAAAGGCTCTTCAGTGCGCTGGTGCTGTCCCGCTCAACCGCCCGGAATGCTCACAGGCCTGTGGGGGCCGGTGCGGAAAGTGGCGCGAATGAGTCGTCAGCGGGTCAAACCAGGAGGCTGTGTTGGGCTAAAGACCAGAGTTTTCAGAGATCTTTGAACAAGGTCTGGCGAACGGGGTCCTTTTATTTCTGTGAACCCCGTGGCACAGACCCCTGTGGCCTCGCCCACGTCTCTGGGCTGTCACCAGGCGGCTGGCCAGGCACCATCTAGTGCAGTGGTCGGCAAACTCATTAGTCAACAGAGCCAAATATCAACAGTACAACGATTGAAATTTCTTTTGAGAGCCAAGTTTTTAAAACAAACTATATAGGTAGGTACATTGTTATTAACTTAATTAGGGTGCTCCTAAGCTGGCCTTTGCTAAAAACGTCCTCTATCTGATTGAGGTACGTTCGCTGAGGTCGACCCCTTCCAGCTCTCCCATCCACACTCGTATACTTGTTTCGTCTGTCTCCTTTCGTTCGTCCTCTCTATATGTCCAAACCATCTCAACATACCTTTCTCAATCCGCGACACTACATCTTTCACTCCACAACGTTCCCTAAAATTAACTTAATAAACTTTAAAGTTTTAAGTCAACTTTGCACTGTACATGTGCGCCTGCACGTGGTATTTTGTGGAAGAGCCACACTCAAGGGGCCAAAGAGCCGCATGTGGCTTGCGAGCTGTGGTTTGCCGACCACTGGTCTAGTGGAAATGCCGTTACGGCTGCAAGGCGGCCGGGCAGCTTCTTGTTCCCGCCAACACAGCCTCCCAGCCCCGTGCCAGACCAGTCCATTTCATGGATTTCTTGGCTGGAGACGGGCAAACCACATAATCCCATTTGTCTGTGGCAGAAAACCTGTGAATGGACGCTTCCTGTGTCCAGCAGACGGGGTGATAGATGCCCAGGAGGACTTTGCCTTTTGACTGTCGTGTGGTGCTTGCTTGCATTCAGGTTCCTTCTGCAGGCGTCACACCCGCAGAGCTCTAGGCCCCCAAAGAATCCGGGTGCCACTGGGGCCATCTTCTTGGTGGCCCATGGTGGGTGGCGGGTATGTTCCTGCAGGAGCCACCCCCTGGGAAGGCCTCTGTCTTGTTTTGCCCTTCCAGTACCCGGAGCAGGAGATTGTGAATCTCTTCATCCCGACCCAGGCCGTGGGGGCCATCATTGGGAAGAAGGGCGCGCACATCAAGCAGCTGGCTCGGTTTGCGGGCGCCTCCATCAAGGTAACACCTCTCTCCACAGCGCCTGTGCCCCACCCACTTCCTCCACCACCACCATGTTCCTGCTGTCGGTCCCCAGATGGGAGCTTCTGCACCATCCAGGGACAGAGTCCCACGGGACCGGGACAAGTTGCCCACAGAACTTTCCCGCCCGCTCTCATCTTTATCTCTCTCCTTCCTTTTCTGTCCAACTAACAACTGCATTAGAAACGACATTCATAGCAGAGGAGCCACCCAGCTCTCTGGGTGACCAGTGTCCTGCCCTGAAAGGCTGAGGACTTTTCCGAACTAAGGGAGTGAACTTAGTGGAGCAGCCGTTCATGCCTAGCAGGTCAGCGCGTTGAGGCTTTAACTTAGTCTCCGCTTCACAAACCCTCGAACTTGGAGAAAGTAGTTGGAATGAAAAACTCTTTGAAAAGCAGCGGGCGATAAACAAGAAGCCGCTGGCATGACCTGACAGGAAGCCCTGGGACTGCAGAGAGCACAGGAAGGAAGGCCCTTGACCGCTGGGAGGGGCCCGAGTGCAGGCGTCGCTGCAGCTACACACCCACATCCTGCCTCCTGGAGCACAAGGTGCAGATTCGTCAGGGAAGCTGAAAGTGAAGGATTCTTTGGCCCTAGTCCTGCTCCAAGCCCAGCTATCAGCTCGGACTCACAGGCAGCATGCTGAGCACGTCCTGAGCCTCATGAAACACTTTCGGAAACAGAGGTTCCATTGTTACCTAAAATAATGTGCTGCCATGCGACAACCCGGAATTCCACACCACAGGTCTCATGACTGGGGAGAGAATGCCTGCACTCTCTCCCCGAGAAGAGCTGGGTCTCTCCCACAGCAAGTGTGCTGCAGAGAAAAACCCAGGCACAACCGCCGAGTCGGGCAGAACAAGCATTGCAATGAGGGCATTAAGGAATTTGTTTTAGGGAAATCCTTTCCCCTCCCAGGCCTCGTTTACCCCACCTGTGAAGCAGACAGGATGCGAGCCCTGGGGGTGGGGGTCGGGGGGAGACAGTGGTGGATCACATGGAGGGGAGGCTTTGCACCCAGCAGGTGCGTTGCAGGGAGCCCTGGTCCAGGCTGTGCTGGCCCCGCCCTCTGAGTAGGTGTGAAGATCACAGGGCTGGCTGCACCACCAGGCCCTTCCCAGTGTTCAGTCCTGTGGTCTGACATCCCATGGAGGAGAAAATGGGAGGATTTCAACTAAAAAGGACTTGGGGGGGGGGTCATCTCATCAAATCCTCCCTTTTTTCCCCTAAGGGAGAGTTGGAGGTAGAGGCAGCCAAGGCCGGCAGGGAGAGGACTGGCTCTTAGGTGTAAATTTTGAGCACTTACAGGGCCAATTACAGAAGTTAGAAACTGGGACCCAGATATTAATGATGGCTGCAAAGCTGAAGAATGTGAGTGCCGCCCTAGCCTGTTTCACTCAGTGGATAGAGCGTCGGCCTGAGGACTGCAGCGTCCTGCGTTCAATTCTGGTCAAGGGCACATGCCCGGGTTGCAGGCTCGATCCCCAGTAGTGGGCGCTCAGGAGGCAGCTGATCAATGATTCTCTCATCATTGATGTTTCCCTCTCCCTTCCCCTCTGAAATCAATAAAAAATATATTTAAAAAAAAAAGTAATGTAAATGCCAAGATTTTACCAGGTTACGTTATTTTTCTGGTCCAGTGTTTTCCATATGTCCATCTGAGTGCTAGAGCAGAATCACTCCCAACAGTCCTTCCTGAAAATGAGAGAGCGCTCAGTCCCTTGGGCTTCACCCCACAGCATCCCCACAGCCTCTCCACACCCAGAAGGGCTGAGGGATGGCGCATCACGGAGGATGGCCTCTGTGAGGGGCAGAAGCAGGGCTGCCCGGGGACAGGACGGGCTCTGCAGCCTGGCAGCATGTGGATGCTCCTTATGCTGGGCCAACACCCTGCTCCTCCCCTAGCCCTGCCTCTTTCCAGCGCAGGGAAGAGGAGAGAAAACCAGGGAAGCGAAGTCTATGTGAGAGAAATTGCCCCCTTTTTCAAATCAACCTGGTCTTTGCTGGATCCCCTTTATCCCAAGTTTCTGAAAGCATCTGTCTCTGAAGCAAGACTCACACCAGAGGAGCCCGTTCCTCGCCTCGCCAGTACCCAGAGTCCACACCAGGGCACGTTGGGAGAGCTTTCCACTAACCAGTACTTGGAAAGGATGGGTGGAGCTGAGGTGGGGGAGGTGCACCCCGAGACTGCTCTGGTTACATGCAGGCAAGAACTGAGCTCCCACTGCCTCCCTGCATAGCACCGGGTCTGCAGGCTTCAGATGCCACACAAAACCCGGTCGGCAGTGCCAGTGGGGACACCCAGACCCTGGTCTTGCTGCAGCCCCAGCTCACCCTGTGACCTTGGCAGTCACCTCACTTGTCTGGGTCCCATTTGCTTCAGTCATAAAATGAGGCCTTTATGCCTGGCCCTCCAGAGGGGCCTGTAGAACGCCATCCTGAAACCTCAGGTCCGGGCTGGTGAATGCCAGGCGATTGAGGGGTGGGAGTTTCTCGCAGAATCTGAGCAAGGCAGGCACGGGCCACTAGGAAGTGAACAGGCCGGCAGACCTGATTTGGTCAACGGGCTTCGTGAATTAGCCCTTCAGCCATCTCAGGGCCGCACCTCCTCTAGGTGGGCTGTCGCGGCGGCTGCCTCTGGGCGCTGAGACTTAGCACCACGGTTACTTTCCTGCAAGCTGGCTGCACGTGGAGGCCTCTGTGGGCCAGTCCCTCCTCCCCTCTAGGCTCTGGGTCAGTTGGCACCGTCTGTCCCTCCCTTTTTCTAGAGCTTTTGACTCCCTTAGTGACAGGAGGCCAGGCTCACTGGTGCTTGGGGCAGGGACAGGCAATGACTACTGGCCTGCTGCCAACTCTCCCTGGGCAGCCAAACACCCAGTGACGTCCTGTGTCCCAGCGTGGAGGCAGGGGTAAGACGAAACGAAGGTGGGAGCCCTGAACTCTCTTGCTGGTGTGCGTGCCGTCCACTGAGACGAGCGGGGCTGGGGGTGCAGCTGAGCGCAGCGTGGCCCTTTCCTTGTGACCTGCAGATTGCCCCAGCGGAAGGCCCCGACGTCAGCGAAAGGATGGTCATCATCACCGGACCACCAGAAGCCCAGTTCAAGGTCAGTGCGGTCTTGGGAGGCGGTGGGAGCAGCGACCCACGCCTGTGCGCGGCTTCCCTGGGGCTGGGTGTGCAGCTGCTGGCTCCCCATTCCCGCAGCCACACTGCGGAAGCCAGGGACTGGCAGCTGTGCGACCGTCCGTCATGTCTCGCTCTCTCAGGCTCAGGGGCGGATCTTTGGGAAACTGAAAGAAGAAAACTTCTTTAACCCCAAAGAGGAGGTGAAGCTGGAAGCCCACATCAGAGTGCCCTCTTCCACTGCTGGCCGGGTGATCGGCAAGGGCGGCAAAACCGTGAGTGTGCCCAGATCTGGCTCCATCTCGGGGCTGACTCTCCGCCCGGCCTCACTCCCCTCAGACCCCATTGGCTCCGCAAGAACCAAATGTAATGAGCAGCACTCTGAGCCGAGGGCCCGATCCATGGCGCTGCTAGAGCCCAGGGTGTGCGCCCAGGAGCACGGCCTCGGGACCTGCCGGGAGGGTCTCCACCCCCTGGCACCGGAGGCTGCCTCCTGCCGCTCTATATCCGCACGGGCAGCAGGAAATGGACAGGAAACTGACAGGGAGGAGAGCCCCACCCGCGCACACCCCTTGGACAGACCACCGTCTCCACTGAATTTCACGCTCCAGGCCCGCGGCCTTGAGTGTCCTACACTCTCTCCTCTTTAAACTCTCCCCACAGATGCCCAGAGGCCCTGACTCTCCCTCCTGCATATTCGGTCTTCCGGTTATTTCCCAAACCCGGAGTAGTTTAGCAGCAGGGCGGTGGGTGAGAAGGAAATCGTTTTGTAATAAAACATTCAAGGTTTTAGCCCAGCCGTGGGCAAACTACGGCCGGATCCGGCTCCTTTGAAATGAATAAAACTAAAAAAAAAAAAGACCGTACCCTTTTATGTAATGATGTTTACTTTGAATTTATATTAGTTCACACAAACACTCCATCCATGCTTTTGTTCCGGCCCTCCGGTCCAGTTTAAGAACCCATTGTGGCCCTCGAGTCAGAAAGTTTGCCCACCCCTGTTTTAGCCTGAAGGTGGCAATACCACAAATGCAATTTGAAAAGCAACAGAGAATGAACTCTGCAGCCTTTAGACATGAGCCGGTCGCCAGCCCCAGGTGTGTTCTAGAGCGCAGGCTACCCGCCTGGAGGGGACACGGCCCATGGGATGTTCCCAGCCTGTGCTGGCTGGCCGGGTGTCGTCCTAGTTCAGTGATGGCGAACCTTTTGAGCTTGGCGTGTCAGCATTTTGAAAAACCCTAACTTAACTCTGGTGCCGTGTCACATAAAGAAATTTTTTGATATTTGCAACCGTAGTAAAACAAAGACTTACATTTTTGATATTTATTTTATATATTTAAATGCCATTTAACAAAGAAAAATCAACCAAAAAAATGAGTTCGTGTCACCTCTGACACGCGTGTCATAGGTTCGCCATCACTGTTCTAGGTGGCAGGGATTCGGGAGGTTGCTGTGGGCCTGAGTGAGTGTGTGAGTGTGTGTGTGTGTGCGTGTGCACGGGCTGTTTTCTTTATATAAAAACTCTTCAAGGAATCACAGATAGAATGATTTACCTTTAGGCAAAAGAGTGAATCTGTGTGGCATGCGTGTTGCTCCCCACATCCAACTATGCAAGTTGGCGTGCAGTGGGCAAAAGGAAGCAGATAAGAGTGGTTCTCAACCTGTGGGTCGCGACCCCTTTGGCGGTCGAACGACCCTTTCACAGGGGTCGCCTAAGACCATCCTGCATATCAGATATTTACATTATGATTCATAACAGTAGCAACATTACAGTTATGAAGTAGCAACGAAAATAATTTTATGGTTGGGTCACAACATGAGGAACTGTATTTAAAGGGCCAGAAGGTTGAGAACCACTGAGATAAGACCACAAGGGCGTAGAATCCTGCGTCCTTCAAGGTCCTATTTGGTCATTTTAGAACCAGTCGCTGAATTCTGTGTGCACCCCTCTCCCCCACTGTCAACTGTCCATCCTTCGTGTGTGTGCTCAGCTCTGGGATAGGGCCGAGGCCATGGCGCAAACCCTCGGGAGTGTGGTGCTACTGCGGCAGGTGAGGGGGTTGAGATAAGGCAGGAGGTGGGCCTGGCCAAGTGGCAGTCACCTGGGGTAGGAACAGCATGAGCAAGAGGCAAGAATGAGAATGAAGGGTCCTTAGCTGTCCAGCAGTAATTTCATCCCTGGGTTATTGGGATCCTGGGGCCCCAGGGAGCGTGGGTGGGCACCACACTGGTGAGAACTGCAGAATAAAAATTCAGCCCCATGGAGCAGCTCCATGGACTCAGGGAATGGACTCCCTCTCCCTGTCCTGGAGCCTCCCGGAGTCCAAACCAGCAGGGCCCCGGGTGACCAGGGCGGGGAAGGCCCAGGAGCGTGCAGACTGAAGGAAAGGTGGGCACCTCCACCTCCTTGCTCTCCACTCCCCGCTGCCCCCTGAGCCCACCTTTCTCCCTTCCCAGGTGAATGAACTGCAGAACCTAACCAGCGCAGAAGTCATCGTGCCTCGTGACCAAACGCCGGATGAAAACGAGGAAGTGATCGTCAGAATTATTGGGCACTTCTTTGCGAGCCAGGTACTGTGCTGTGAGGGTCTGGTCTTTCTTGCCAGTCTCTTTTCAACTCTGACTAAGCTAGTGGTGGCCCATCAGGTGGCCACCACCCCTGTACATACCCATCGCCCCAACCCCGCCCCCAAGATGGAACCTCTCCCTGGCCCTTCAGGCACCACCGCAGGGCAGGGCGGCTGTTCAGCACCTGCTCACCACCCCTTTCCCCCGGCATGCCACAGGACGCTGAGGGTAGGACTTTGTAGTCAAGCCAAGCACATTTCAAGCCCTGAAATGCTCAAGTGTGAGAACTCAGCTCCCCTCGCCCTCCTGCTCCCCTCGTCTTCCTGCTCAGGCCTGACAGCCTTCCTCTGCTGGGAGACATACCCAGAAGGGCCCACCCTTAGGGTTCCCGACTGCACCCTGAGAACCAACCTGGGTGCCAAAATCTCACCATTCAATGCTCATTACAGCAGACTCTCCTATCTCTTACCTCTACTTTTCTAAGTCACTACCACCCCCCTCAGGACACAGGGCCTCCATACAGCTGCTTCTCTTTTATGCAGAAGGGCCAGCTCTTTTTGATGCTTTTTGTTGGTTGGGTTTTGGGATCGAGAAATCTCGGTCCTTGTCTTAAGCCCATGAAGGCAGTCGAAGCTAAGCTGACATCCAAGCCTGCTTTCCCAAGGCTGTGCCGTTTAAAAAAAAATAAATAAAATAAAACCATATATATATATATATATATATATATATAGATTGATTTCAGATAGGGAGAGAGAGAAACATCAGTGATGAGAGGGAATCATTGAACGGCTGCTTTCTGCAAGCCCCCTACTGGGGATCGAGCCCATAACCCAGGCATATGCCTTTGACCAGAATCGAACATGGGACCCTTCAGTCCACAGGCTGACACTCTGTCCACTGAGCAAAACCAGCCAGGGCTGTGCCTTTGCCTAGAGAGCTGACTGTCCCTGGAGATCAACTGCCACTTCGGCTGCCCCACCCCAGCGCCCCCAGTGTCTGAGCCACAGGTTCCTGCAGTGGGTGGGCAGCACTGGGAGCCGTGTATGTAGTTGGGAGGGGGTGCTCTCTGACCTCCGCAAGGTCCCCTGGTCACTGGTTTCTGCTTCCTGGCCTGTTTGTCCAGCAATTAGCTGGAAGCTTTTGGTGTTCTACCCCCTCACCCGTGACCCAGCAGCCTTGAGGTTGAGTGGTGGTTGGGGGGGACTCTGCCACTTTACTTCCAGGCAGAAAAGGACCCGTAGTAAGGGCTTTAGTGGGTGGGTGACACTTTGCCCAGCTTAGCACCTCCTCTCCCCAAGGCTCAGCCCAACCCCACCGCTCACCCTGAGAACTGGGTTCCTTTTCTCCGCTCACCCCCTCTCCCGCTGCAGACCGCACAGCGCAAGATCAGGGAAATCGTACAACAGGTGAAGCAGCAGGAGCAGAAATACCCTCAGGGAGTCGCCTCACAGCGCAGCAAGTGAGGCTCCCACAGGCACCAGCAAAACAACGGATGAATGTAGCCCTTCCAACACCTGACACCACGAGACCAAACACAGCCAGCCAGATCGGGAGCAAACCAAAGACCATCCTGAGGAATGAGAAGTCTGCGGAGGCACGAGGGCTCTGCAGAGGCCCTGAGGACCTGGTGGCCAGGAGAGGAGGCGGGGGGGGGGGGGCCGGCGGCTCACGGCCCAGCCTCCTGCCTCCCCGGGCCTCTGCAGGCTGCCCAGCTATCCACTTCACCGCCCACTCGGATCTCTCCGTAACCCCACCACGCTATCCCTTTTAGTTGAACTAACATAGGTGAAGGTGTTCAAAGCAAAGCAAAATTCACTTTCCTTTTGTGGAAAATTGTCTCTGTACATGTGTGTACATATTAGAAGGGGAAAGATGTTAAGATATGTGGCCTGTGGGTTACACAGGGTGCCTGCGGCGTTAATATATTTTAGAAATAATATATCAAATAACTCAACTAACTACAATTCTTAATCAAGTATTAATTTTTTTTCTTTTTAAAGAGAAATCAGGCTTTTCTAGACGTTAAAGAATCAAGTCATTCTTTGGGAGGTCTAATGGTTTAGTAAGGAGCTTCAAGGCCACCCACACAAATCCACCCAGAGGGAAATCTGGTCAGGACACTCGCGGCAGCTCCGGGTCACCTGTGTATGTCAACAGAAGGGATACCGTCTTCATCCCTGTCGAGCTCACACCCATTTCTCTTTGCTTCACGGGTTTTAAACTGGTTTTTGCATACCGCTCTATAAGTCTGTCTCTGTTTATCTCTCCCGTCCATCTCCCTCCCGTCCTCCTCCACACCCATCCTTTTAGCCCCCACACCCCTCTGCCTCAGTCCCACTCTCTATGCACCCCCAGGCAAAGCAGTGCTCTGAGTATCACATCACACAGAAGGAGCAAAAGCAAACACACAAACCAGCCTCAACTGACACTTGAACAGAACAAGAGTCAATGGTACTTGTCCTAGCTTTTCGGAAGAGGAAACAGGAACCCATCGAACCAACCAAAACAAAGAAAAACCCCCGCAAAGAAAGAGTATATTTTGTCTTTTTTATATTTTGGTGTATAAGCCATCCATTTTCAGCAAAATGATTTCTTTCTTTTGAAAAAAAAATGTGGAAGAAAATAGCAATTTACATGAGGTCGTTGGCCCAGGGCGTTAAATTTACAGATTTTTTTTAAAAGAGAAAAACACACAAAAAAAGCTACCTCAGGTGTTTTTTACCTCAGCACCTTGCTCTTGTGTTTCCCTTAGAGATTTTGTAAAACTGATAGGAGCATTTTTTTATTTTTTTAATAAAAATGAGTTGGAAAAAAAAAATACAATATCAGCTGCCAGCCCGGAGAAGGTGACAGTCCAAGTGTGCACCACCCGCTGGGCGTCGCCTTCCGCCAGCCAGGAGCCCACGCGGCCTTCTTTTGGACAAACCTTGAAAACGTTTATTAAAAAAGAAAGATGACCAAGGGACACAGAGAAGATGTTGGAGATGTCCTGAATCTCACTAGGGTACGTGCCAGTAGGGCTTTTGCTCTAAAGGATGGACATGTACTGGTTTCTGTGAACAAGCCATTTTACCATCAGACTGCAATGCCAGTTTCCTCTACTGCAAACAGTGTTCTGTGACAAAAACAAAACAAACAAAAAAAGAGAAATATATCCAGCTAACAAGATCCTGGTGTCTTGGTCTCTTATTTCGAGAAGCATCGCCTGTCCCCAGGGGTCAGCCGCGTTCCAGCTCCGAGGGGACTTGGGAAGCAGGTGGCACGGACCTTGAGGACTGGCCAGCTCCTCCCAGGAGGGGGCTGGGAGAAGCTAAGTGCAGTCACCAGACCAGCAGCAGCATTAGCTTCGGGGAACTTTTTAGAAATGCAGGTTCTTGGGGTCCACCTTGAATCAAATTCTGGAGGTGGGGCCCCACAGTCCGTTTCAGCAGGCTCTCCAGGTGACTCCCATTGGTGCTCAAATTTGAGAACCACAGAACCAGAGGGATGGGCTGTGTCTCAAGCAAGGTAAGACCAGCCCTGTCTTTAATGAACTTGATGCCTGGCCAGGGAAGGAGTTTATCGAGGGAGGATAATGGGCCTGACAATTCAAGGGAAGAGGTACTTCCCAGCTCCCCAGAAACCACACTGGAAGTGTTCCAGGAGATCTGAACAGGCGGATGAGAGCGGTCCTGTTCCCTTTATGAGCCCATGTTCATAGAGCTGTAGGCTCTGCCAGAGGTTGCTGGCTGCTAAAAGCCCAAGCAACTCAAGAATGAAGAGTTGGTACTTGACTGCCAGGGGGTGGTCAGTCAAGCTTTCTGGGGTGACCACTCAAAGCCCAGCAGGGACAGGCGGAGGTGAACTGATGGGTTCCACAGTGGCCACATCCCCCTTCTAACAAACTGAGGGCTCCCAACTCACTTAAAATGTGTTCTTTGCCTATGTCCCATCCACACTCCTGATTTCCCTTTTATTTTCAATATCTGTGATGCTGATTTTAAAGTTTTTTGTGTAGAAGCCAGCGGTTCCTCTCACTGCTGTGGTTGGCATGGACATGGGCAGAAACGAGCTATCCCCTCATGTGGCCATTAGAAACCCAAGTATCTGGGCTTCATTCCCCTCCCCCCCCTCAGGCCTCAAGCCCACTGCCCTCAAAAGAGGAAATGGAACATAGTCTGCTGGCCTGAGAGAAGCCAAGACTCCTGACAATCGGGGTTATTTCTGAAAACCTTTCCCCTGGTTGAGATGTGCATGTCAGATGAACAGCCAGAAAAACGGCACACCCTTAAAAGAAGGGCCTTAAACGTAGGCCTGAGGGCTTGGTGATGGATCTGTCAGGATGCGGAGGAATCAGCGGGAGAGGAGGCATAACGCAGGACCCCTCTTGGCTCTGCTGCTCAGATTTTCTTCCTTGGCCTTTATTCAGGTGGCAAAATTGGAGGTTTAACTCCAGCTCCTAAGCTGCCCGTTTCCAAAATATGTGTCTGAACATATGAAAGACAAGTGAGGAGGTGCTAACAGACGCCCTACTTGCCATGGGACAAAGCACCCAGAAGTGGTCCCAAGGTTGCAGCAATGGAGGGGAGCCACACGGAGAGGCAGACGGCAGGAATGAGGCCAGCAGGCTTGTTCCTAGCCAGGGTGTTCTCGCGGCCCGTTTTCTGAGAGCCCGGGTGCTCGGTGGTTTGGCACTTGATGCAGGCACTCCTGAGCTTCCCCAGGGCAGCGCAAGCAGGACCACCCTTTACAGGACAGGGCCTACCCCGTCTTACCTACAGAAGAGCAGCTGCCTGTGTGTGCCTCGTCCCCACATGTGGACTCAGACAAATGGCATTTCTTCTATAAATCCCAGACTTTTTGTCTTGACAAGACATTCTGACATCCCAGAAAGTCCTAATTGAGCATGATTTTATGAAAAAAATAAAATGGCAGTTGTTAAATGGAGACTTAGGTCAATACCAGAGGTTTTGATATTCATTACCCTCCGAGACTCAAAAAACCCCTCCCTGGTCTTTTGGATTGACCTCCTTGAAAACCCGAGACCCACACTGGTTTTGCGTGTGCTAACATCTCACTAGGAATGGTAAGGAGGCCTGAACATCCCTTCTGTCCTAGTTACCTCCCCCTCCCCCCAGCTCTGCCTCGAGATGACTCCTCCAACAAGGAGCTCTGGACGGGAAGGGTGGCAGGCTGGCTGCAGAGTGGAAGAGGGTTCCAGCAGAGGAGAGCTTACAAACTTGAGAAAAGAGAGACTCGATAGAGGTTTAGGGGGGTTTCAACCAAGAACCAAAGGAAATGAGTAACCATAGATAGAAGGCACCTTGACAGGATGGGCAAAGGTGGGGAAAAACACTGGACTTCTAAGGGAAGCAGGGAAAACGGATAGATAACCTGGCTTCCATTTGGGATGGAAGTGACGCAGTGACTGAGTAGACAGGCGATAAGGACTGGAGTATGACAAGCTCTTGGCATAGTCATTCCTACATCCCTGGGGAAGGAAGTAGGCAAGAGAAGCATCCCCATGGTAACAATTATGAAAAGCCCACACCGTAGGTATTGAGAGATTAGCCTGAATTGTATATGCATCCAAATCTCTCAGTCTACAGCCTGATGGAGATTGCTTTGGCTTGCTACCACTAATGTCAAATAACATGACTAGCAAATTCCCGTTTACTGTCAATTTTTGCTGCTGCCTTTTCTTTCCTCAACATTCCCTTGAAGGTGCGTACTGGTGAATTAAAATTTAAGCCATCCTGCATATGGGCTAATTTTCTATTCTAGCTCACATCAGCCGCATCCAGGTGCTGTCTTTCTAGAAGCCAGGAGTGTTAATAGCTCTCTCAGGAATAGCTGGTATGAAGAGAAAACCTCAGAGAACAGAATTATACTCCAGCTTAACCTCAATGCTCCTTGTATTCTCTTGTGAAAGCAAGATGCCCAGATGCAAGGCGGTTTGTTCCCATGAGTGACTGGGGGCACTGCCTCTAATCTCAGATGTGGCTGACAAGAACCTTCCCATTTGCCTCCAGTAACCTTCAGTGATCAGGACAACCAAAGGCAATTTACATATTTTATTTGGAGCCGGTATTAGTTTCTTGAGATTGCTGTGCCACCACAAATTTGATGGATTAAAACAACAGAAATTTATCTTCTTACAGTCCTGGAGCCCCAAGTCCAAAATCAAGGTGTCAGCTGGGCCATGTTCCCCCCTGAAGGCTCTGCCAACTTGGGTGGCTCCAGGCTTCCTTGGCTTGTGGAAGGAATACTCCAGTCTCATTGCCTCCTCTTTCCGTTAAAAACAAACAAAACAACCTCCAAACTCGTTTATAAAGTAACAGAGCCTTCCCAGACCACCGTTACTATAACACTGGGTGTCTTTCTCCAGATTTTGTTTTAGGTGCATAAACAGATTTCCCCCCACAAAAAATGGGTATAAAATATCAAGTGCCTAGGCCCATCTTATTGCCTCCTCTTCTGTCTCAAAACTCCCTCTGCTTTTCTCTTATTCGGCATGTAAATGCACTTAGGGCCTACCCAATAGTCCAGGGTAAATTCCTCAAGCAGTGTGGTGATTGCCGGGGTGGGGGGGGGGGGGGGGGGGGCGGGCGCGGGGCGGTAGAAAAGGGGGTGGGGGGAAAAATGGTGACGGAAAAATAAAGTAATATTCACAGATTCCAGGGATTGATGTGGACTTATGTTCTCAGAGGCCACCATTCAGCCCACTGTATATATCCAGGTTAGAAGACTATAATAAAGTATTTTTTAAACAGAGAAATTTGAATATGGACTGAGTATTAGATGATATCACCAATTATTAATTTTGTTAGATGGTAAAAATAACATGGGCTTTTTTAAAGTTAGGGAGACATTCTTAAGTATTTTATCTCGTCCCCTCTGAATAAAAGGTGAGTCAAGATGAGCCACATTTGCCCGGATGGTGTGGCTCAGTGGTTGAGCTCTGACCCACGAACCAGGAGTTCACCATTCAATTCCCGGTCAGGCACATGCCTGGGTTGCAGGCTTGATCCCCCGGAAGTAGCTGATCAATGATTCTCATCATTGATGTTTCTCTCTCTCCTCGCTTCTCCCTTCCTCTGTCTGAAATCAATAAAAAACATTAAAAAAAAAAAAAAAAGATGAGCCATTTACTAACTGCTGGAGGGTAATGATTGTGTATCTTATAAAATGTAAGTCAATGACTATAATCTCTTGTGCCAGAGTAAGTCCAAGTATCAATGAGTGATTTTCCCCTGATTTTATTGCTATACATAACTTGTCAGAAATTTTATTTCTAAGAATTTCTCCTAAGAGCATAACCCAAATATTGTGCAGTGTGGTGTGTGCAACAATACTGGATTAAATGAATTACGTTATAGCCATACACTGGAACAGTATGCTGCTATTAAAATGTCAATATTTATTGACATGAAAATATGGTCAAAATAAATTAAATGGAGAGGGGTTATATAGCCATATATCAGTCCATATTTGTTAATAACAAAAATATATACATGCACAAGCATACACAACACACAATTACACATATGAAGGAGTATATGCCAAAGACCACGATTTATACCAAAATGTTAACACAATGTTATTAACTCTGGATGGTGAGTTTGCAAAATTCTTATTCTTTACCTTTGAGCAGTATTTTTTTTCCTGCTATGAACACTTCGTACAGATACAATTGAAATATAAGTGAGAACCACAGACTTTAGGATCACCATATGACCTTCAGGAGGCAATATGTGTGCTTGGGGTAGGAAGCAACACTTGCTTCCAAGAACTGTGTTGCCTCTCCTGACACTTTCCACAGTGTATCCATACAGGTTCCACGGGTGTCACAGGAAGAGCCAAGGGTCTCAAGTTTTCAGAAATGGTCGATTAAGACAGTAATTCATTCTGTTGACTATGCATCACTTGGCACACATTCATTGAGCCATAGAATCCTTTGATCTGCATCCTACATAGATTAGGACTGTTACTTAACATATTTTAGGAAATATCACTGTGAAACCCTAAAGAACAAGGACTATTTATACCCCACATTTCTGCTGAGCTTCTGGCCTGTTTTCTCAGATAGATTCATCTCAAAACAGCCTCATATTTATCTCATCTTTGCAGTCTCAAGTTTTATAGTTTTAAATATACTTTGCATCTTGCTGCCAATTCATTTAGAGCAATGTTTTTCAAACTGTGGATTTCCATCTACTAGTGGGTTTAGGAATCAACTTGGTGGTCACAATGCACATTTTTAAAATATCAAGATAAAATTCAGAGGGTAGTAAGAATAAGTCATGTTTTTGTAAAACTTGTGTCCACATATACTCATGACACACAATATGAAATACATTTATTACTGAGTTGCAATAAAAAAAGTGAAAGCCAACGAATTAAAGAGATTAATTTATTGGGGAATAGATAAAATGAACACCTATTTCAAACACCCAAACCCTTGTATATATTTGGTAAATTTAAATTAAAAAATTATCAAAGGAATATAGTAAGCTAGATCTCTAACTTAAAAACAAGTACCAAAAGTTTAAATACTGGTTCCTTAAAGTTTTTCTCAAACTACCATAAAGAATTTAGATTCTCAATTAGTTCACAAAAGCCAATTTAAACAATGTAGCTGCACTACAGTACTAATGTTATTAAATTACCTTGTTTATTTATTGTATCAGAAGTTCAACATATCTCCAAGGACACATTCTCCCCACACCCACACCTTGGTCCCAGCACCAAGCAACTCCTCAACATGCAGGCAAACGATGACCATTGGGCAGGGCAAGCTGTGCTTCACAGTTCGGAGGAGGAAAAGACAGGAAGTCTAGCAGCCTAGGGAACTGAGGTAGAATATGGGGCCCTCCAGACATCTTCCACACGCCCCAAGTCTTTCCCCTCATCTGCATCCCAACTCTGGTACAAGGTCAAACATGACAAAGACCTGCTTATCAACAGTGGTTTATTTTTTCTATTTTAATCAATTTTTTGGAGATTGTCTACTAAAAAGGATTCACTCTACCTTTTTTCAGACCCTCAAACTGCTCTAATAAAAAATATATATCATCTCACTGACTTTAATATTGATAATTTCACTATTGATATATGTTGATAAAATCATTAACTTTTTATCACCTGATTGCTTTTATCATAAACTTAAGATAAAAAAAATTCTGTTACCAACAAATTTCTCTGCATCAAGACAGACATGGTCAGTGCCTAGAGAAGCATGAGTATCTCAAATTAACTTCCGGAAGTCTGGGTTATGTAGAACGCCATTCTCTGACTCTGCTCTTCTGTCCTGGGAAACAGCTGCTCTATGAAGCCCCTCAGTAAGATGCTTAGAATGTAATACAAATACATTAACCCCCAGCCTCACTTATATGGGCAGAACACAGACTGCCATTCCTGACAGGATTTACCCCACATGGAACAAACATTCTCCAAGGTACTAACATTCTAGTGCTAACTAGGAACCAGGTTTTCAGTATAATGCTACCCAGTCAATCTCTTTTTCGGCTGTGCCAGCTGCTCGATCCCAGTGCTCACTGGCCCCACTCCAGCAGCCCCGGGGGAAGGAACCGAAGCTGCAGGAAGGGTTCTGTGCAGCCTGAGCTTGAGGGAGATGTGGCACAGCTGGCTCATTCTTTAATCACCACCTAAGCACACGTCCTCTGGTTTGCCCATCAAGTAGATGCAGTTTAATCCACATCACAAGCCCCAGGTCCCACACCTAGACGTGCACATGCCTCAGGGAAACTGGCTGCATTCGCACACCTCTCAGCAGCAGCCCGGGCCCTCCAGGGGCAGACATGTTCATTCATAGCTAACACATGCCCGCATTTTCTGGTTTTACCTCTTGCTTTTGTGTACCAGGAAAAGTTTGGGAGTTTAGTAGGTAAAGGGTCAGAAATCATTTCAGCATATACTTTTCAGGTTCTGCCAGGCAACCTTTTATTACATTGAAAAAGCAACACTAGGCACTAGATCTTGCAAAATATGTTTTGACCAATTCTAAACTTTCTGAAATTAAAAATGCATAACCACTGTAAAGTTTTTAATGAACAAAAAAGTTAAATACAAACTTTCATATGCAAAATAGATTATTCTAACCTCAGAGCCAAGTACTAAATTTTCTTCCACAATTTTCCTTAGGGTGGAATGGGGGGTGGGGGGTGGGAGGAATGTAAATCCTAATGAATACAAAACTTAATTTCAGCTTTCTATATAGAAGAAAAAAAAAACTTTGAGGAAAAATAGCTTTAAGCTGAATAGACCCTTTTGAAATAAACAGCTCAGGCCAGCCCTTACAATTCTGAGGTTTACCCTCAACCAGATCTGGGGCAAAAATGAAGATTTAGGGTTTAGTTACTTCAAATCCAGTTTCAAGAGCAGCGGTCACCTCATTTCCAGAAAGAAAAGTCTCTATAGTCTCTCTAGACCAGCGGTTCTCAACCTGTGGGTCGCAACCCCTTTGGCGGTTGAACGACCCTTTCATAGGGTCGCCTAAGACCATCCGCATATCAGATATTTACATTACGTTTCATAACAGTAGCAACATTACAGTTATGAAGTAGCAACGAAAATAATTTTATGGTTGGGTCACAACATGAGGAACTGTATTTAAAGGGCCAGAAGGTTGAGAACCACTGCTCTAGACCATTACAGTCTTCGGAAGATGCCTGGGCAGCCAGAATCCCTTGGCCACAGTCCCACTTTCCCGACACCATGCTGGTGCCGGAGTCTCTGCCTTCCCTGAAAGGCAATCAGAGCCCTACACCCCAGTGCTTCTCCTGGCATTTTCAAACCTCAAAAAAAAAAAAAAAAAAAAAAAGACCTCCCGCTTCAAGTTGGCAGTTACTGCTCCAACGTCAGAGAAGTCAACTAACACTTCCTTCCTCCCACCCCCACTGCTTTCCCGCTACATCTTCAGCAGGGAATGGCAGCTTGATTAACAGTCTTTTCAGAAATAAATAGTTCAAACAATTCAAAGTTAACTGTAAAAGAGCAGCAGAAAACAGCCACTGCCCATTATGTATGCAAATGAGTGCGTGAATGAATACATGTGAACAAACAGAGAAAACAACAGCTCATAGAATAAATCCTGCATTTTCCACATTCACGGGGGGGAAAAAATCTTTTTAAAAAAAGTATTAATTAGCGTTTGTTCCTATGTGGGTTGAATAGTCCAGGCTCTGAGCAGGCACAGTCTTACAAACAGGTTGCAAGCAGCCCTCCGCATACCAAGTCAGGACACTAGGGTGCAGGGCCTTCATGCATGTCTGACAGCTCAGTACCTGTGAGAGAACTGGCGATGCAGGGACTTTTAAACCCACAATGCATGAGGTATATGAAAACGTTTGTCCGTGAAAGAACCACCAGCAGCTAAGGGACTGGGCCAGGCATTCTCACAGCAACTGCTGATGAAGGATTTCCCACACCATCTTCTTCCGGAAGAGAGGCATCTGGTGCTGCAAAGAATCCACCAACAACATATACATTAACTCACTTGCACAGCATCAACAACTTTCAGGTGAATCATGCAAATAAAGTAAGATGCCATGTCCATTAGGTATGCCTTAACTTTGTTTACATCCTGGTGCAGACTTATGAAGCCATGAAAAAGGAGGTTTATAATGTTTATTATACTAGCGGCCCGGTAACTAAATTTGTGCAGGGGGTGGGGGGGAGGTGTGTTCCCTCATCCCGGCCTGCACCCTCTCCAGTCGGGGACCCCTTGGGGGAAGTCCTACCGCTGGTTTAGGCCTGATCCCTGGATGGGCCTAAACCGGAGGTTGGACTTCCCTCTTGTAATCTGGGATGCTGACTCCTAACCACTCACCTGCCTGTCTGCCTGACTGCCCCTAATTGCCTCTGCCTGCCTGCTTGATTGCCCCTAACCCCTCTGCCCGCATGCCTGATCACCCTTAACCTCACTGCCTGCCTTCCTGATCGCCCCTAACTGCCCTCCCCTGCTGGCCTGGTTGCCCCCAACTGCCCTCCCCTGCTGGCTTGATCTCACCCCCAACAGCCCTCCCCTGCCGGCCTGATCTCGGCCCCCAATGGCCCTCACCTGCTGGCCTGATCTCGCCCCTAACTGCTCTCCTTGCTGGCCCGATCGCCCCTAAATGCCTCTGCCTACTTGATCACCCCTAACTGCTCTCCCCTGCTGGCCTGGTTGCCCCCAACTGCCCCCCCCCCTGCTGGCCTGATCTCGCCCCAACTGCCCTCCCCTGTAGGCCCAATCGCCCCTAATGGCCTCTGCCTTGGCCCCCACCACCATGACTTTGTCCAGAAGGAAGTTGGACGTCCAAAAGATGGCCGGTCAACCCCATCTAATTAGCATATTACCCTTTTAGTAGTATAGCTACATTATATAGGATAGGATTGCTTAAATGGGGGGGAGGGCATTTTTCATCAGGAGGAGATGCTTTTGGCAGACAAAAATACATAACCCCTATGTCTGGACTGATAACCAGTCGTATGCACTATACTGCCAAACCGGTTATTAAAAAATTGAACCGCTTTCTTACACCTTACACCAAACAGCTGTTGCCCTTAAAACCCCTCATCAGCCCCCCACCTTAGGTTGTGCCTTCACAGTTCACCCAGATTAGGTTCTGATTGGTCGGTTTCTATGCCAGTCAGGATCAAAAGCTCCGCCTCCTAGGCAACCACTGGCTCCTCACACTTTACCCAGATTTGGTTCCGAATGGTCGGTTTCTATGCCAGTCAGTGTCTTCAGGCCTATCAATGGGCCTGATCAGAGAGGTGGGGCTGATCAACAGCCCCAGTGGAGGCCCAAGGGAAAGAGAGTCGCGGCTGCTGGCCAGGCCCAGAGCAAGAGAGAGAGGCAAGTGTTCATCAACTGCTGCCACGGAGGCTATGGATTAGATCCTGCTTCTCTCTCCAGGCCTCTCTTTGGGCCTGATCTGCAGCCCCCTCAGCAGTCAGTGCTGGGTCAGGGCGCCCACAGCGGTGGCAGTGACTGACTTCCTGTTGGTCGGGCCTTTGGTCGTTTTGGATGTTACGGACCCTGGGTTTTTATATATTAGGATGTATCATTAGTATTTTTACATGTTAAGGAAAATTTGCAGAATTATACAGTAAAGTCCAACAACCTCATAACAAAAATGTGTACCAAAAATGGGAATATCCAAGAAGTGGCACAATAAATAACTTTTTCTACTTATATCTTTTTTTCAAAACATTCTAAAATTAATATATTCTGCTCTCTGAGAAAAACATGAACTCTAAGTAAAGAAAAAACAACTCAACAGATTTCTTTATGTTCTACCAAATGTTGTGCATTGCCAATACTATTCAAACAGCAACTTCTCCCCCTCAAATCTCATGTCATTAGGCTCAGAACAAATAACCACTTGTTATTTAAAAGCATCAAAAAATGAGATTCTCTGCTTAATGTTATTTTGCTTTAACTGATAATCACTACATGGGGCAATTTTCAAAGCAGCAACATACAAGGTAAATCCAAAATCATCTGTAACTCAACTAGTCCTCTTTTTATGAAATCTGAAGTTACACCCTTGAGGTATTCCTGGTGTCTCGTTATAAATAGCTGGATAGCCCTGACCGGTTTGGCTCAGTGGATAGAGCGTCAGCCTGTGGACTGAAGGGTCTCAGGTTCGAGTCTGGTCAAGGGCATGTGCAGGCACATCCCCAGTGGGGGGTGTGCAGGAGGCAGCTGATCGATGTTTCTAACTCTCTATCCCTCTCCCTTCCTCTCTGTAAAAAAATCAATAAAATATATTAAAAAAAATAATAATAAAAATAAATAGCTGGATATACCCCTTTACTAGTGATTTCCCACCTGGAGAGACCTAAAAAGTCTTAAGTCATGAATTTGTGTTTTCTTTTTTCTTTCTGGATTTGTATATTTTAAATAGCTCAAAACATGTAGTAAAAAACTGTACATTTATTCTTAGTAAAAGTGCTGAAGCTCATAATAAGTGCCTTTATTTAAGACTGGAACAGTATTAATTCCACATCAGAGCCCTGGTTCTTTCATGTTGCCCCAAAACTTGGAATGGGGTTATCAGTCCTGCTAGTCAATAAGTACAGTTTGGTAGACAACATCTATCAAAATGAGGTGTGGTTAAGAAAAATATTTTTAAAGGGGGTTTTCTTCAGTTGTAAAAAGGTTGAGAATCCACTATTACAAACACAAATTCTCGTTTCCAACATATTTTAATTTTCACTCAAATACAGAGCTTTGGGAACCAATAATAACTAGAATAGAAGGGAAAAGCAGAATTCATAATTACAGCTTAGACCTGTGGCTTACAAGGCCTGATTTCCCCTTGCAGTTACCTATTCTGACCTGCCTCCTTCAGCTAAAAATATCAGTCATATTCAGAAACTGGTGAACACTGGAGGTGAAAGACAGCATACCGACCCAATGATCATGAAGACTAGGAAAAACCTGAGAGCAGATGCAGTGACAAACCCTCATATTAGCAAGAGTAGGGCTACAGCCAAGTTTACAGCAATGACAGCAGCACAGCTACCATTATTAAGATCTTAATGTGTGCCAGGCGCTGCTAACATGCTCTAAGTTTATCTTGTTTAGTAACAAGTGGATGGGGAAAAGTCGTCACTCACCTGAGTAAATGTGATAGGTTTGTCCCTAGACATATAATCTGCATATTTACAAGTAAACATTCCACAATCACTCCCATTCAACTGTTGAGGAATCTCCTAAAATTACAAAAAAAGGAAGGGAAGAAGAGGTAAAATTTCATTAAATACAAACTCCTTTGGCTTTTTCTAAATGTTACTGTGGATAAACAATATTATAAAGGTAAATATTAAACATATACACAATAGACACACACACACACACACACACACACACACACACACACACAGACAGACACTCACACACACACACAGTCTTTATGTGGCATTAAAATCCCAACCATGACATGGAGTATGTGACCCCATAGAAAATGTTTTTCAGAAGGAAATAGAAAAGTGAGTGTTCCATGAAGAAACTTTATAAGAAACCAAATTGAAAGAATGTTTATTACCAAGAAAAGGAATTCTAGTCAGAATTATTTCAGAAATTTATAAATTCTGAAAAGGGCTAAGTGTGGCTCAATCAGGAATATGTCTACAAGACAGCTAACCTACTTCAATATTGCAGAGTTAAGCTTCTCCTCCCTAGAGGAGAATAAAACTGCTCTGGCAAGCAGGGGAGGATTAAAAAAACAAAAACAAAAAAACCCCTCTCGAAACAACATAAACTGATTAACAAAAACAGATCCAGAGACAGAGAAGCATCGATCAGACCATCACACCTCAGAGGGAAGGTAGGGGAGGGTGGGGGTTAGTGGGAGAGATCAACCAAAGGACTTATATGCAAGCATATAGGCCTAACCAATGGACACAGACAACAGGGGGGTGAGGGCATGAGAGGGGGGGATGGGGGTACTGTGGGGATAAGGACACATATGTAACATCTTAATAAAGAAATTTAAAAAACAAAACAAAACAAAACAAAAAAACCTCTTGTAGGCTCTAACTAATTAGGAAACCTTGCCTTGCTGCTCAGTTCTGTGCCGAAGCAATAGGGTATCATAAGCCCAAGTGACATAATAAATTCACACATTCCCCAGCCCCGCTGCACTAATCTGGGCCAGCCCCTCACACACTTTGGCTCTGTTATAATGAACACAAGGTAATAAGAGCATAAGAGAGTCTGATTCCACTGCTGGAAAACATACTAAATGAAAACAGCTCAATTTTTAGTCAAAGAAATACAGATGATTATTGTGGAAAAATTGTTTAAACATGCACACCACCCATACAGATGGTAGGTACTTCTAACTTTCCTCCCAAGCCCAGCATCTCCTACAGACTGGAAAGAACTATAATTGCCAATATACAAATAAAGACAACTTGTTTTCTTTGTTACATTTCCCAGTACACGGTTTTCATCCTAACAGACTTCTTGTATCTGTGCTCTCCTCAGGAAAATTTAAAGCTTACCTTCCTAATTATTCAACTTAGAAACGAAAATGCTTTTGGCCAGGTAGACACAGGCTAGGGCTAAAACTGAATTAATGTACCTTGCTTTAAAAAGAAGCCATTAGGACTCAAAGATGTACACTTTTTTTAACCCTGAATGAGATTCAAACCTGGCAAGACCCAAACACATTCACAAACAACATAGAACTAAATATACAAAATGTCCAGATAAGTTTTGAACAAGAACTTCAAATTTTCATTAGGGCCTACCAAGACAAGTAGCTGACCTGAATTTATTGAGGTTTTTCTTTTCTGCTTTTTCTTCAATTTTTTGAGACATATGAGCATGTAGATAACATTTATAAGTTAAGCAAGAAGATAAAGGCTAAGAAGCAAACATCTTGGTTAAAAAGATTCAGAAGTAGATCATTCATAAGATGTATACACACTTCAGGAGAATGTATGCCTAAGGGTGAGTGTGAGGGGAGGGAGGGAGGAGGTCAAGCAGAAGTAATATGCCTCTGACAGTAAGTGCAATGAAGTACTTGAAATACAGATGCTCAGCACTTACATGTGGCTTCATGCTGTAGTGCGTCCACTCTAAAAGATTCAGATCAACATTTCTTTTGGTCTTACTTTCATCCTGCAAATACTGACTAAAAAACAAGAAACAATGTATTGACAAATCCCTTAAAGACAACATTATAATTACAAAGGACTTTGTGATGTTTAACAGATATGCCATTCTCAATCCCATCTCCATTAGCTTTTGGTCTTAAATTTTAATTTTGGGATTCTTTTCTGCTTACAAAAATTGTACATGCTTATTTTCTAAAAGTTAAGACATATAAATGTAAAATGCAAAAGACCCATAATAACCACTTCAGAATTATTATTAATAGTTTGCTGTGGCTGGCTGGTGTAGCTCAGTGGTTGAGCATCCAACCATGCATGAAGAGGTAGGTCATGGGTTTCGATTCCTGGTTAAGGTACAAGTCCAGGCTGTGGACTCAATCCCCAGTGCAGGGTGTGCAGGAGGTATCCAATCAATGTTGATGTTTCTCTCTCATAGGCGTTTCTCCCTTTCCCTCTCCCTTCCTCTCTCTTTAAAAGTTTTAAAAAACTTTTTAAAAAATCATGCACGTCCTGGCTAGTGTTGCTAAATGATTAGAGCATCGGCCTGCACACCAAAGGGTTTCGGGTTCAATTCCTGGTCAAGGGCATGTACCTGAGTTTGCTCCCCACCGTGCAGGAGGAAACCAGTCGGATGTCTCATCAGTGTGTCTCTCTCTCTCTCCCCCCGCCCTACTTTATACTTCTCTCTGAAAAGCAATGGAAAACATCCTCATGTGAGGGTTAACAAACAAAGTTTGCTGTGTATTCCTCTACTCCACCCCATACACACAATTCAAACATACATCTTAGTCCCAGTCTGGTTGCTCAGTTGGTTGGAACATTTGTCCTACACACCAAAAAGGTTTTAGGTTTGATCCCCGGTTGGGGCGCATCTGGGAAGCTACCCATCGATGTTTCTCTCTTACACGAATGTTTCTCTCTCTTCCTCTCTCTCCCAACCAACCCCTATGTTTCTCTCTCTTTCTCTCTCTCTCTCTCTCTCTCATCAAAAACAATAACATACATTTTATTCTATTAAAAAATGAACTTCATTTTACAACCTTTTTTCTCACTTAAGGACAGATATAAAACAAAACAATTGGCTTTGACTTTTAAAAAAAAGATACAAAGCCAATTCCAATGAAAAACAAAAAAAAGGCAGGAAGACTATTCTAAATTAAAGGCAACTAAAGACATAAAATACATGCATGAACCCTGACTGGTTTCCTGGATAAGGAAACAAAATCAGAACATAGACCACATACTACATTAAAAAATACGTTTTTATTGATTTCAGAGAGGAAGGGAGAGCAAGAGAGAAACATCAATGATGAGAATCATTTACCAGCTGCCTCCTGCATGCCCCCCACTGGGGATTGAACCTGAAACCCGGGCATGTGCACTGACAGAATCAAACTGTGACCTCCTGGTTCATAGGTCAATGCTCAAACACTGAGCCACACTGGCTGGGCATCATTCAGAATAATGTTATCAATCCCAAATAAATCTAATTCAAATCCCAGGATTCTAGTAAGATACATTTTACATTATAACACAAGACAAACTTGCTTTCAATGATGCTACTAAACAAGACTTCTCAGTTAAGATCAGATATTAGGTTATTTTTAAACAAAAGAGTGGGTTCAAGTTAAGTCCTGAACAACTGGGAAGATAGCCTTGACTATACATTAGACTACAGGATTAAACTGAAGACAGATCACCTAACAAGGGCATAATGAGATAACAGTGAAGTTTTTTAGCCTTTACTTACAGGAGAATTTCACAGATCCTGTTGCCCTTCTGTCCCATAGAATCCAGATATTTAAGACACCTTTTTCTTAGGTCTATCACCTATAATGGAAAAATGCAACATACAGAAACAATCATAACAGGAGTGAGAATTTTATTTCTAAAAAAGAAAAGCATCTTTTAAAAAAGTCAATACATGTACCAACATGAATGGATCTCTAAGACACATTTTTAATAAACATCACAGATAAGCTTCATTTATATAAAACTTGACTCTTCTATTCCTACAGAAAGGCTTAGAAACTCAATCCCCAAAACACTAGTGGTCCTTTCAGAGTAATGAGATTTCTTTTTTGCTTTTTTCTTTATACCTTTACTTTCTACAACTAACCTGTACCATCTTGTAAACAAAACTAATAAATGACCCATGTGTACTAAAACTCTTGCCTATTAAAAATGAAAGCTACTCAACGAAAGCAACTCTCTTCTATCTTTCTAAGATGTTCAACTCAAGAACCAAGAAGGGATTCTGCAGAGTATGCCTTTAACATATAGTCTGAACTTTTCACTGGACAGAAAAGGGCAGCCTTCATTATTTAAGAAAACGGTCATTATCCAAACTCCAACAATTAACCCTCTCGACTCACCACCAGGCTCCAATGTACCTTCCGATGAATAGGCACCAGAATTAGTTCCTGTTCAAAGAGATTGACCCCTTTGGTCCACCTTTTCACTGCTTGGTAACCCCCAGACTTTAATTTGGGATAGAAGAAAGTACTGAATGCATGAAGTACTGGATAGCCTTGTTTTTTATTTCTTTCCACGAGAAGATTCATGTAAAAATTAATGACCTGTAATACCAAGAGTAAACATTGGAACACGGCAAGTATATTATCAAAACTAAGTTTCTAACCTAACTGAATTCAGATTCATTAGACGGTAAGAAGCCTATTGAAGGGCAGGTACCAGAGAAGGGGATAAAAGAACTCCCCATGGCAGAAGATGAAATATAAAAATAATCAGTATAAAATGGGAGGAACTAAAAAGGAATGAAATTATAGTTTTGAGACATATTAGTAAGAAAGTCAAGAGAAGGAACTCAAGGAGGAAGTCTGCAATAATGAAAAGGTGTATGTAACCGTATCACAAAAAAATATGCAGAAATATTAAATGGAAGTAAATTTTGCTATATATAAACTACATCTCAATTTTAAAATATTAACTCAAAGGAAATATATCAAAACATTAATGTTTTATTAATTTTTTAGTGGTGGCACTTCTTTCACTTTTCCTGTATTTTCTAAATTTTATGTAATAAACATGTTAAACTTATCATGTGAAATAAAACACACTAGTATTACAAGAATTTGTTTATATATAGTCAGTAGTCATGAGAGGGCGGGCAGGAAGGAAGGCAAAGAAAGAAAATGTAGGGACTGAGCAGTTCAGTAAAGGACCAACTGGAAAATTGGCAAGAATTAAAAGCTAGCTTTAGCTAAATATGTAAGGACACAAGATGACAATTAGGTGAATTTTTGCAGTTATCACTCAAATGAAATAAAGAAAAAGACATATAGTGTACAGATAGTGATCAATATATCCCTTTATTTTAAAAATTAAAACAGCTCCTATAAAATTCATCTAAAATAAAGTATCACTTGCTGCTTTCTTCCATTCATCAGCTGCACCCAGGGTTTATAAAAACACCATTGAAGACTAGTGAATGAACTGGTGGATGAAGTGAAGCACAGATGCAGAACAGGGAAATAATGCCAATTAAAGGCAGCAAACAATCAGAATGAACCATCTCTCTAAAGTCCAAGATGCTTTTGTTGTAGATTAAACTGAAAGTTGCTTTACCAACCCCTTATAATTGGGTAGATACCACTGTAGTTATGGATAGTAACTGGTCAAGCATAACTTACTTCATCATTGAGCCAGTGAAAGTTCCTCAGGGTCTGGATGTCCCCTCGAGTGATGCGCAATTTGAAAGCACTACTTAGGATCTCATCCTGTGGGCCATGGCCCAGGGCGTTACTGATTTCCTTTTCCATGTCCTAAATTAGGAAGACCAGAGGTTGCTACTTTAATATAAAGCCGCTATCAGAGACTGAAAAGTCTGAGACTGAAAAAGCCAATTTCACCTCTGTTAACACCTGACCCTTGAGAAAATATACCCTCAAAGACCTACTAAATTAACGTATGAAAAGATTTAAACTTAGACTACAAAAGTCTTACTAATGGTTATAAAAAATAATAGTTGAATTATTAGCTTCTGAAAATAATTTGTTAATATTATTTACATTTAAGGTAGTCTCAAGTATCCCACTGCCATTTATTGAGCACTATGGGCCAAACATGGTACCAGATGCTTGAAGCACATCATTGATCCCTGCTTCTGGGGAAAATACATTTTATGGAAAAGGCAACGCTCACAGAATTTAGGTTACGTGCTCGAACTCATGGATTATTAACAGGCAGAGCCACGATTTGAACCCAGGAGTGGCTTACTAGCCTTTGCTCCTTTCAAAATATTTTATTAAGAGTATCTTCATACTTTCTTTATTTCCCTCCTAACCTGTTATTTAACTATATCAAAGTAATAAAATTAGGACACCTAAGAGATCACACTATTCATCTTGGATATGAGGAGAGTAAGCAAACAGGCAAAAACTGGGAAACTAGGCAGCAGTCTAACCCTGAGTCCTTAGTGAATAGATGGCTTCATCTAAAAAATTATACAGATAAATACATATTTAAGCTACAAGACCGAATCTATAAACCCAACAGAAATTATTTCAGATCAATATTGTTAATATTGCTTGTCCCCACTGCACAAAATTTGGTAATTTTATGGCTCTCTCGCCACCTGCATGCCCAATATATAGTAAGTGCTCAAGAGGTAATCACTGAATAGGACTGACTACCACCTACTAAGATGACAATGAAGGAGGAGCCAATAAAGGGTAATAATATATCTAAATTGAACTTAAAAGTTTAAGGAAGACCTAGACTTTAAAGTTTGTACCTTTAACAAATTGAGGATTGAGTTTTAGAAATAAAAGTAAGGGGTTGGGGGTGGGTGGGGAGCCAAGATATGAGCTCACCTTTAAAATTTTTAACTATCTTCATTTCCTTGTTTTCTATAAGTTTTTACTATTTTCAAATGCAATGATCAACAAAAGAATTTTAGTAAACCATAGTCACTTAAAACTGTAACGAACTCATTTCTCATGCCAAAACCATTCTATGTAACCCAAAATATTTTACGGTTAGAGACTATACAAAGAATCCATTATATTCCAAGATATGTAACAATTATGTCTACCCACATTTGTTAAACATTAAACTGATCCCTTAGGCGACCTTCACAGATCACCAATAATCCATGTAGTCAGTGACTGAATAGCCTGTAAGACGGATTTCTTTCATAAATTTATCCATAGCCCGAAGAAACTCTTCAAAACAGTCACTCAAGTCTTGAATAACTTGGGTTATTCAAAACCATGTCTCTTATTCTGAGCAACACATGAAACAATACCTCTGTAAGTTCAAGAAGATCATCTGTTCTTTTATCTCTCTCTTTGCCTGAGCAATTTTTTTCTTTTGTCTCAAGTGTTGACATTTTCCTCCTGAATAAGCCATTGCTCCCACTGCCCAGGCGGAGTCGGGCTGACACTTCTTCAGACAGATCAGGTTCCAGCTGGTGTCCCCTCCTCTGATTAAAAAAGTTACTATATTCTATTGACTTGTTTAATACTTGTATATGTAAGCATACATAACACATGAAATATAAAACAGTGACATTATCTTGAAGGAATAGAGAATTAACAAATCATCATATGAGTAGCTTTAGCATATCTGTTCCTGCAAGAGGAACCAAACAATGTTCAAGATATAAGGCTCACAGGACACCTCCATTACAAAACCATGAAACAGAACACCACTCATCATTTTCCCTGAAGGTAAACAAGGAAAGTATTTTTCAGTTCTCTTATCCAAATTAAAAATAATTTAGTTTAAAAATATATTTGAAAGTATTAAACAGCAAAACATACAACCCATAATCCCATCACCTAGAATAAACCACTGCAATCCAAGTATTAAGTAAACTTCTAAAAACTATAAATTATAAAAAAAATGTGCAAAACATTAATGTATCACTTAATTTTTACAAAATCAACAGCAATGTAACCACCGTTCAGGTCAACAAGTAGCATCCTGCCAGCATTCCAGAAACTCTAGTAAGACCCTTCCTTATCATGACCCTATGTAACCCTTAATACTGAATTTAATCTGTATTCAAACTATTTTTAAAATTTGGAAATTTATTTAGAAATAAAGTTTTGGACTAGAACCACATTCTCAACACACCTAGCCAGTACTCTTCACTCTAGCTAACTGCCAGGCATACCAGTCCTGGGAAACCAGTAGCTGCTGGCTCTTCCCCTGGTCACAGACAGCAAAGCCTTCAAGTTCAGCAGGGGTAGAAGCCGGATGTGGTCTTCAAATTATTACCACCACAACCACCACTACCCCATCCATCTTCTCTCAGGCTTTCTGCATAGTTTTTGTCTCATGGGTGGTAAATGGTAATTACACACAAAGGGCTTCACTCGGAATCACCAGAAATGGGGAAATCAGAGAAGGTAATGTTCTAAGATTTATGACTTAAGACCATGGCTTAAAACTATAACTTAGGCCCTAACCAGTTTGGCTCAGTGGATAGAGCATCAGCCTGGGGACTCAAGGGTCCCAGGTTTGATTACGGTCAAGGGCATGTACATTGGTTGCGGGTACATACCCAGTAGGGAGTGTGCAGGAGGCAGCTGATGGATGTTTCTAACTCTCTATCCCTCTCCCTTCCTCTCTGTAAAAAATCAATAAAATATATATTTTTTTAAAAAAAAAAAACACAAAACAAAAACCAAAAAAAAAAATACAACTATAACTTAGGCCCCACTGGTGTGGTTCAGTGGTTGAGCATTGACCCATGAACTTACTAGGTCATGGTTCAATTCCCAGTCAGGGCATACGCCTGGGTTGCAGGCTTGATCCCCAGTAGGGGGCATGTAAGAGGCAGCCAATCAATGATTCTCTCTCATCATTGATGTTTCTGTCTCTCTCTTCCTCTCCCTTCCACTCTGAAATAAAAAAAAAAAAATACATTTTTTTTTTTTTTTAAAAAAGAGTATGACTTAGTCGTAAGACAAATTCTTGTAGTCCCCTAGACTTTGGTATTTGTATATATTTAAGATGTGAAATAATCTAAAACTTCAAGTTTGCACTTAATTTAGGAATGTGTGTTTTTTTTATATGGAATGTTTGCCATTATTATAAAAATATTGGTATTGCTATGGAGATCACTGGAACACATTATTCTGATAACTTATATAGAAAAAATCTAATTAAGTATGAGATTGATACTATTTTCAAGTAAATCTAAAATCTTGACTCTGAAAATAAAGTCCTGAGTATATATCTCTCCTAGAGATGTATGGTTTTTAAAAATTCTCTAAAAGAAGCCAGGCAACACCCATAGGGCTGAGATGGAGGCAAATTAGTCTCTCTTACAAACAAGGTGGCTGTCACACAGCAATAAAATTCCAGCAACTCAGAAGGAAGCTATCTTCCTTGAAGTTGTATATCTTCAATGTCTGTTGATTTCTCAAAGAAAACAACAGAGTTAGCAATCAAATTAACATATATCATCTTTCTTTTTTTCATGGGCACCAAAACATTAATAGTAAGTTAGGTGAAAGAGAAAAAATATAGAAATTTTAACTAGGGTTTCTACTTACACCTTCATTTTCAAGTCTAATTCCAACTGTCTTCTCTATATCTGAAATTCTCCCCTTTGAACACCTGAGGGGAAAAATATAGAGATTACAGATTGGATTATTTTAACCTGGTACGTGTAAGACTAGTTTTAGAAATAAAACAGAATCATTTACAAACAAAAATTGCCTTAAACTATCATCCAAATCCTAAAGCACGTAGAACTGCCTTCACTGGTCACATACTAGAGATGCCCACCATTACCATACTCTTTTCTAAGTGGCACCTGCACCTCCCAAACCCTAATGTCTAGGAGACAAAGGCCCACTCCCAAGTTAGGGTGGAAATCTGACACAAAAGCTATGTAGATACCCATATATGCTGACCAGCTAACCAGAGGTGAGGAGAGTTCACAATTCTTCAGACATGGTAACTCATAAATATAACTCATAAGTAAGAAAATAATGTCAAAAGAAAACTTAGAATGAACTGAACCAGGTACCTCTTTTCACTCCTCATTGGACATAGAGGTCCCCTTGTTTCAGCAGCTCTATCTGTGAGGATGGTAAAGAAAAAATAAAGTGTCTTCTTTATTAATCAATATATAGCTAGAATTTCAACTTACATAGTCTCCAAAGTATTAAGACACTGACTTACATTGAAATGTTAGAATAAATTCCAAAGACACTAGCCTCCTTACAAATCAAATTGCTTAAAAATGCATAAATCGCTTTCTTCTTTAAATATAATCTTTAGTGTAAATTGATGTCTGCTCATTTGGAAAGCTATCATTTAGTGTCAAGAAAATTAATATAATAAAAATAAAGAAATTAAATTTAGGCTCACAAAATATATACTACTATATATAAAAGCTAGGAATTATAATCAAGAGGTATTTTATAAATCTGTTTCATCTTGAAATAACCTTTTTACTAAATTACTAGTACTGGGTAAACCAGTCAACACCCTGGGTCTAATAAAGTTTTAAGGTCACACCATCTTTCATAAGTACGCCATTTGTCAATTTTATATGCACATGGACTACGTTCAGTATATTAAGATAGAGCTAAATCTGGGAACTCACATTGTTTTGGAACAAACTGAGTTGTTCTGACTCCATGACTTTGCTCTTCCCCCCAGCCTTTGGTCTTTAATGTATCCATGTGACATCTTTGAGAACTTAGAAACACAAAAAGCAAAGACGTTCAGATACAAAAGGAAAATCTACCATAAATACTCATTATCTCTGTCTGACAAGCTTCTCCAAACAGGAGTTATTGATTACCCTGAATCATCAACTTACAAGAGAGAGCATGCAACACAGCACCATCTGGGACTAGGATAAAAGGAGTCTAATCCTGATTCTAATATTTCTGTCAAGTTACTACTAACCTCCAGTTGTTCTATTTGTAAAATTGCATGCTCTCAAGCCCCAGCATCACCCTAACTGAAAAATCTCATGTGATAAAACTCAGGTCAAAAGATGGAAAATTTTACATAATACACTAAAATGGATCCTAAAATAACATATTAAAGGCAGGAATGTGAAAAGCAAAATAGGTTGAGGATTTTGCCGACGTGACAAAACCAATAGTTCACGAAGCATACTGCTGTTTTCAACAGTGGCTAGACAAAATGGAGAAAATATTAACATTCTGACTTACTACACTAAGAGAATTAAAATTTTAAAAATTCACAATCAAAATTAAAATTTCCAGACAGATATTTCTTTGTTATTTCGGCACTCAACCAGCTAATCTTGTGACAGTTTCACCTTCAACTTGCTGTTACATAATTTCTGGGACAGCTCTCTGTGTATTTGCACTTGTTAAAATTATCAAATGTACCTAAATTCTAAGCTCACATATTTTTTGTCCCCTTTTTATAAGGCCAAATATCAACTCCTCCTGCCATTCTCATCTATTTGCTCAAATCATTAGAGTATTAACAAAGAGTCTTATAAGAAAAACTTCTTATGACCTGTGTGACTTTAATCATCTAAAGTGGAGGGTTTCCAATTGTGCTAAGATGCATCCACTAAGATGCCTCAGGAACTGTGTACATAGGGAGATAGGGAGATAGGGAGATAGGGAGGTAGGTGCAAGGGAGTGGGGGGGAGGGGGAAAGAAGTGAGGGACATGCAGGAAAGGAGTAGGGGGAAAGAGGCAGACAGAGACACAGAGACAGAGATTGTGGGGAATGTGTACACTGGGAGTTGAAAAATCTCTCTGCTTCCTGATTTCAACCAGTGATTCCACTTTTTTAATCAGAGTTTTAAATCAGAGTACACTTGAACAAGGATTCTAAAGCTAACAGAAAACTATATTTTATAAAAGAACTATTCTATATAACCATTACTAGATGACAAATTACAGGCTAGTTCTCTCCATGTTAATCTCTTTTTTCCCCCCATAAAACCCTTCCTACCAATTCCCTCTCGAAAAATAAGGAAAAAAGATGTCTGGCAAAGCATTGATCTTGTTAGCTCATCTTTACCTATGATGAGTTGAAGTTACAGGAGGAACAGAGTTTCCATGAACACCTTCTTTCAGTCGCTCCAATAGCCTTCGGTACTTCTCTCTTTCTTCTTTTTGAACACCCTAAATAGAAGAAAGCATGATGGATAACTTCTAGTACATTAAACATATAAGTAAATCTTAAGCAAAGACTTAACAGGTCATAGATGTGTTTTATTGGTCAGCACAGGGCTCTTTAAATTTATTTTTTTAATGGGGGGGGGGGGGGAACGACACCAATTTGTCCTCCACTTATTTATGCATTCATTCATTGGTTGGTTGATTCTTGTATGTGCCCTGACTGGGGATCAAATCCAAGACCTTGGCATTTCAGGAAGATGCTCCAACCAAGATACTCAGCCAGGGCCAAAATTTCTTTAAATTAATTACCAACTTTATAAATTGAAAAGAGATATCCAAAAATTTATCTTCTTTTGAAAAACCAAATCAACAATCTGGAGCTACGTAGGGCTATTCCTTTTAGATGGCCCATTCACTCTAGCCCACTTCACTCATTTACATCATCTCCTAGACCTGGATGGCTTCTGAGTTTTTGACAGCAGAACTAGGTTGACCACAAATTCAGCAGAATAAACCACTTGCATATTCAGAACATTCAGCTTCCAAATGGAACTGGTCTCAACATAGTCACCAATGACGATGTATGGTCCGATCCAACAGATACTTTTTCAGCCTTATATTAACCCCTCTCTTCAGCATCTCACCCTGATGACCTCGCCTTGCCCTCCTGGACAATATACTCTCCTGATTTCTTCGTATCTTCTCAGTCTCCATTGCAGATTATTTCTTCTTCTGCCTGTCCAAAATGCCAAAGGTCCTGCCCAGTATCTCTTCTCACACTACATTTTCTCCCTGAACAATGTCTCAGCTCCCTTAATTTATAAAACACCAATACTCAGAATATTCAGAATATTCTGCCTTCTTCTCAAAACTCTGAGCCAGGTCACTTTGCATGTTCCACAGGCACTTTAAACAATGTCTAAAACTGAAGTCATTAAATTCCCCCTAACCACCTAGGGTATCTTGGTTAGTGGCACATATTTATCAAGACAGAAATCTGGGACTCAGGCTCTTCCTGCTAACTTTGTGTCACTCCTAACCAATGAACATGTCCTTGCTAATATTACCTTCTAATATTTCTAGAATATATCCTATGTATACCCCATATGTGCTCAGTTTCGTTTCTGACTTCTCATCTAACAGGTATTGTAGGCTACTTTATAATACCTCTCCTTAAAACCCCCTCCAGAGCTGCAGTCCATTTCCTCTCTCTGCCTACTTCTGTTTGTTCAATACAACTATTTATGAATAAGGTCCCAGAGGTCAGGGACCATGTTTTATTCAGTTCTAATTACTGACATTGGGCACCCAAACAAGTATTTCTAAGATGAGCAAAACTAACTGGCTCAGAAAACCATGTAGCAATAGGTGATGGTCCTAGGGAATGCCAGATACAGAAATAATTCTAAATGCTCCTGGAATAAGTGAAGACTTGAAAAGGGAAGTGAAGAGAATCTTGTTGATGAAGATATCATGCTAAGTGCCCTGAAAAGGGAAGGAAAGAGTAGACATATACACCACTTAACTTCTCTTACTTAGTCACAGTTATTACATACAGCTTCTAAAAGAAACAAGTTAGAACAATCCAGGCACCCAAAAAGAACCCATTCTTTTCCTAACATGACTCCTTTTTCTTTCTTATAGTGAAAATAATCTGGAAATTGACTAAATTACATACATATAGAATATCTCTAGAAGTATCAGAGTCAAACAGGGTGGAAGGGCCAGGTACGGAAGTGAGACAGGGACGTTTATAGTCACTGTACACCCTTTTATACCTTTTGAATTTTATGCTATAGTACATATATTACTTATCCCCCCCACCCCAAATTCATAAAATAGTTTTTAAAAGAGATCAGACTGGTAGGGCTTACCTCCTCCACAGTACAATGGGGACGCCTCAGACCCTTGCCACCCTCTTCAATAATCATCTCTGTTACAACCTGTTCCTGAGGTTTCCACATTAAGGAACTCTCTGGATTGCCTTTGCTATGGCGGCGGCCACTTGGTCTTCTATTATAGCCGTCTGAGTTCAAAGTAAACCTGAGAGACAGGGAAAAAAAAAAAAAAGAAACGTGTGTCACCAAACTGCTTAAATTGCTGGAATCTAAGCTTCAGACCATTCTGTGATTAGGCTTCCCAGATTAAGCTTGCTCCTGGCAAATCAGACAACTAGCATTCACAAAAGTTACATCTATCTCTAGAGTAGAGGTAGAATTCCACTATGGAACATCTATTTCCAGTCACCAGGGCTGCCACATGAGAGCCTCTGCCTTCTTCCTCAAGCCCCACTTTCCAACCCCAACTCTGGAATTAGCTCCCCTACTACACATACCCTCCCCTTGTGCTGCCCTTTTCCTTTACTCACTTGGCATCGCTGGAATTAATTATTGTGTGATTGTTTAATGTCAATATCCCACACCAAACTTTAAATTCCATGAAGACAAAGATTACATCATTTCATCACTGGATCTTAGAACAGGATCTAAGCCAAAAGGCACTCAATATTTGCTGGATGCTAAATTAATGATTGTAAATTAATAACTGCTAAAGAAATGAAAGCCATGAAGCCCCTAGTCATTGTTGCTGGTGGAAGAGCCTGCCTCTCCTACCATCACCAATAATGGGACAAACTGACATCATATCTTCCTGATGTAATGTTTTAAAAACACTACGTGTATGAGACTTTTACCAAAAAAACAAAAAAGCTGCATAATCTAAAACAAATCATGAATAAGTGTCCAACAAAATTAAAGGACATTCTACAAAAGAAATGTTCTGTTGGGTGGGGTGAAAGTAGGTTTACTGTTGTGAGGATGTAAAACAGAGTTTATTATTATTTATTAATTACTGTATTATTTTCCATCCAAAATAATAGATGTCCCACCCTGTACTCTTTAAAAATATCCATGCTATTAAAGGAAGTCTGAGGAGTTGTTCCAGATTAAAGGAAATCAACAAGACTGAAAATTAAACCTAATGCATGATCCTGCACTGAATGTGGACCAGAAAAAATACTCTATTATGGATAAATTTAAACAAGACAAATAGTATTATATTAAATTTTCTAATTTTTGTAATCTATGATTACGTAAGTAAATGTCCTCATTCTTACGAAATAAAGCACTGAAGTACTATGATTAGAAGGACATGAGTCTAAGACTCTCAAATGGTTCAGAAAAAATATTATGTATATATGACAGAAAATGATAAAGAAATTGGCAAAATGATAACTGGTGAATCTGTGTCAAATGAAGACAAAATACACAAAAACGGTCATAACTGGATGAAGAAATAAACAAGCCTACAATTACAGCAGGAAACATCAATACTCCTTGTTCATCAATCAATAAAAAAAGTAGACAGAAACCAGTAAGGCCTGTAAAACATCAACAACTTGAGCTAACATTTATAGAAAACTCCACCCAACAATAGCAAAATACACATTCTTTTCAAGTGCACATTGGACATCATCCCTATAGACCATATTCTAGTCTATAAAACAAATGCTAAAATTTAAAAGAATTGAAATCATACTAAGTATATTCTCTGATCACAATGGAATTAAACTAAATAACTGAAAGATATCTGGGAAGTCCCAAATATTTGGATATTAAACAACAGAATTCTACACTTCAAAATAATCACTGGTTAAAGAGAAAGTACAACAGAAATTAGAAAATATTTTTAAATTGAATAAAAATTAAAACCAATTTTTCAAAATGTGTGGGCTGCAGCTGAAGCAATGCTTATAGAGATAATTATAGCATTAAATGCTTAGAAAATAAGTTCACTTCTAAATATTCAAGTATGTATCTCCCAAGAACAAGGACATCTTTTACATAACCATAATACAGTCATCAAAACCCAGGAACTTCAGCAATGACACAATATGTAATATGTAGCCACATTTAAATTTCCCCAAAGACATTAAAAGTATCCTTCACGACAATATTTTTACTATCTTGAATCCAATGCAGAAGCTCACATAGCATTTAGTTGTCATGTATCTTTAATCTCCTTTAAACTGAAAGTCTTTTAGCCTCTCTTCATCTTTATAATGAAGAGTACAGGCCTTAACCAGGTTTCTCATTCTTAGACTCAGATTGATTTTTGCAGGAATATGAATTAACCGATGTCTTCAGCACAATATATCTGGAGGCCACAATGTGTCTTTGTCTCACTGTGAATGGCTTTAACTTTGTTCCTTTCCTTAAGATGGAGTCATCAAGCAGTTTTCTTTACCCTAAAGTTATTATTTTTCCGTTGTAATTAATAAGTAATTTGTGGGGAGATATTTTGAGTATATATAAGTACCCCATACCTCATCAAACTTTTACTTACTAGGTTCAGCTCAATTGATTCCTATATGTATCAATTACTATAATAGTTACAAAATGGTCATTTTCTAATTCAATCATTCCCTGTACACTTACTTATTGGCATCCTACTATAAAGATCTTTCTCTCCCACAATATATATTTAATTATAACACCTATATCCTGTCTTTATTCATTTTGATGTTTAAATTGTTCCCAATTTGGCCAGTGAAAGCCCCTTTAAGTTTCTTCCTGTGTCACGTTGACATGTCCCCAGTTTCTGAACACTCCTTTTATTTCTGGCACAAGACATTGCAAATTCATTTTGTACTTTCTTTCCTAGCTCTACAATCAACCATCCAACTCCAGAAAACTCAGTTTTTAGTTAGTGTCTCATTCTTAAACTAGAGGCCTGGTGCACGAATTCATGCACCAATGGGGTCCCTTGGCCTGGCCTGTGGGATTGGGCCAAAACCGGCTGGCTCTCCAACATCCCCCAAGGGGTCCCAGATTGCGAGAGGGCGCAGGCCAGGCCAAGGGACCCCACCGGTGCACTAACAGGGCCGAGGAGGGACCACAGGAGGGCTCCAGGATGTGTCCGGCCCATTTACTCAGTGCTGATCGGCCAGACCTCAGCAGCAAGCTAACCTACCAGTCAGAGCATCTGCCCCCTGGTGGTCAGTGCACATCATAGTGACTGGTTGACCGATCGACTCTCTGTCCCCTGATGGTCAGTGCATGTCATAGCGAGCAGTTGAGCAGCCTTAGCATATCATTAGCATATTATGCTGTGATTGGTTGAACAGACGACTGGACACTTAGCATATTAGGCTTTTATTATATAGGATATGAGTGGAAAGCCAAGGATTACAAGTCTTTGAATAGACTCTAATATGAAACATAAGATCAAAAATAAACCAAAGGAGGCAAGGAATTTAGAGGAAGCAGAAAAGCAGGGAGAAGAAATTTTAAAATAATTAAGAGCTTTAGAGAAATAAGATATTACATCCTTACAATAAGAACAAGAGGCTTGGAGAAAGAAAAACCATGGGGAGTAGGGAAAGGGAGGATGGTTACACCTTAAAAACTATGAAGTACCCTAACCGGCTCAGTGGATAGATCTTCGGCCTAAGGACTGAAGGGTCCCAGGTTCGATTCCGGTCAAGGGCATATACCTTGGTTGCAGCCATATCCCCAGTAGGGGGTGTGCAGGAGGCAGCTGGTCAATGTTTCTCTCTCATTGATGTTTCTAACTCTCTATCTCTCTCCCTTCCTCTCTGTAAAAAAATCAAAGAATATATAAAAACAAACAAACACAAAACTATGAAGCCCCTTCACAAAGAAATCAGTAAAAGATTTCTTTTTAAAGGGCAAGGATAACAAAAGAGAATTTATAGGAAAATTAGATCAATGCAAAAGGTCAAATACATTTTTTAAAATCCAAGTAGTTTAATATCCAAGTAGTAGAAATCCTAGAAAGTAGGAACACAAAAAAAAGAAAATTACCGTAATGAAAAAACAGTTCAGGGTATGAAAATTCATCAGGCTAGACTAGACACATTATTTCCGTACTTTTCTGCGTGCATATTATACTTTTTAAAAAGTTTATAAGCGAATGGTAATTCTTTTTCAAAAGGTTTTCAAAATCAGATGCTATGGGCATATAATATGGCAGAAAAAGTAACACATACCTGAGTTCAAGTTTCTCATTAGCTGCATAATATTCGGTAAGCTCAAGTACTTACTTAACAAAATTACATAATAGAAAAAAGTGTGAATGCCTAGCAAGAGTGAGCACCTAATATGTGCTAAGTTTCCATGTAAAGAAAGACAGAATTTAACACTTACCCAAAGGAAGGCAGGACTCTGCGAGGCTGATCTCGAGTTACTGTCACTCTGATTTTTGGATAATCACTTATTCCATTAGGAGATTTATTACCTATTTTAAAAATGCATTTGTAATTGTAAATAATAAATAAATAAATAAATTAATTAATTAAAAAACATCTGTGAACACTGCATTAGAAAAGAAACTGTATGATCAGTCTACACTGTAGAACCATATATGTTATTTTTTCAAATTCTATTACTATACAGCAGAGATTAGAACAACCTTTGTAAGGTTAAAGGAAAAGCAATAGTGCTTAGGTTGTCTTTGATCTCAGATAAGCAATAACAATTCATGGGCAAGCTTTCCTAGTTTTGCTTGCTGGGATCAATAAGAGACATGAAGAACTTAATGATTATAAAACTCCCTACAACCTAATCAAATTAAGAGAATTTTTCAAGTTGTTTTTTCCTCCCAAGAAAACAGAAGTATTTTTAAGTGAAAACCTACCACATGTTACTACATTTCACTGGAAGCTTCTAACACTTGTGAAGTGGTTACTATACTTCAAAAAATGGTAACCAAATTTTCATCTGCCACATTTTCTTTGGAGCTATTACAGGGGCTTGGAGTGCCTGAGGACTCCAAAATGCAATTGTAGCAGCAAAACCTAAACTGACCTGAATTCATTTGCTTGCAAAACCTGACTTGAACCAATGTTCAAATCCAATGGGTTTTTACAATAATATTCAATAAACACAAAATATCTAAAATAGAATAAATTCAGAATCCCCAAACACGTTTCTAAGGGCTTCAGATTAGAGACTGGACTTGATTATATTAGAAACCTGCCCCAGGAATACCTGTGCTTCTCTGACTAGACTACACAAACCCACAGAAATATACTGCTGATGCCTCGGGCAGGATAAATCTACTAGCCTTTCCATGTCAATTTTAATGGTAAATAATTTTAAACATTTATATAGTCAAACAATATAAATAGATTATGAAATCTAATTTGTATTTACTTTTAAATAAAATGAAAGGCTTCAAAGAAGTATAATCTTTGTCCCCAGGTCCCTTGGAACTAGATTCTCAGACTTGGGGGTACACATTTATTTTCCTTTCATCTGTCACTAGAGGTACTTGACTTAAAAAGTTTGTTTGAGAAGCACTATTCTGTTTTTATCATTTCCTTAGCTTCTTGAACTTTTGACTTCTAAACCCACAACTTCTCTAAAAGCTCTTTTTCCCCTTCCTCTCAAACTTTACATACCTACCTGCCTGGCAGAGATCACACCATTTTCAGGACTCTGGTTTCTCCCTATTGCCCCGCTCCCCCTCCCCCGCCCCTCCCCATAGCACTGTGCACAGTATATTACAAAATTAACAATTCAATTTTGGGGTCTGGATGATATAGAGGTTCCTAATCCATAAAACTATGAGAACTGGAGACCTAAGGTTGCTCCCCAATCAGATTCACACATAAAAAAAGTCCTTCTAAGGCAGAGTTTTACTATTTTTGTTATTATTGCTATTTGTTTTATTATTAAAGGTTTCATTATTTTGTTAAGTATTTTATTATTTTATTATTCTGAATAACTTAGCATAGTGCCTAGCACAGAGGAAGTGCTCAGGAAATGTTTGTGTGTAGTTTTTTGGGAATGAAATTTGATCTAAGTCACATTATGGACACTGATAATCCAAACAGAAAACACAACAGTAAATTCAAAGACAATTGGAAAGGAAAACTATTTGCCTTTTAGAATGACAGAGAGAATGTCTGTGTTTTCATATCAAAGCAGTGTTCTCCTTTCATAGTCTCAAAACTCAGAAAAAAGAGTCAGGAGGAGGAAGGGGGAAACAGAAATATTTTTGTCCACCTCACCCAGTTTCAGCATGTTGTTCCAGGATCCGGAACCTGTCAGTTCACAAGATGAAGAGTTCGAAAATACCTTAAAATCAAATAAAATAACCTCTGTAGTATATAATTTTAGAATTTAGGTAAGTTTCTAATATGAAAAAATACAAATCACTCTATTGGTGCTAGCTCACAGAAGAGATATCATCAATAAAACCAGATATTTAATTTGTGAAGACTCACAAAATGATGTAAAGAAAATTAGCAATTCCAAGGTCTCCAAATATACTTATTATTCAGTAATTGAGCTCTTTATAAATATTTCTTAAATATGTAATTTCTTTTATAAAGTGTAATTTCTTAAACTTTTAAGTTTTTGGCCTATATATCAAGGCTAATAAAGACATGCATATTTCTGGATAGAAGTCATTCTACACATTAATGCCCAAAATGAGAATATTTCCAAAATTTAGTTTCAATGATTAAGTACCAAAATCAGTAGTGCCAAAGGAGTCCTATCCCCACTGACCTCTCCTGAAGGAGCCGCATTCCGTGTTCCATTACAAGCAGAAGCTACAGAAGCTACCATGGGCTTTGTGGTCAGCTGGAATGGGAATCCAAACAAGCTGGCAGCATTGTAGAGACTGTTTTTCACTTGGTGAATAAAGCAATCTAGAAAGTATAATACAGATTACATATACATATAAACCTAGAGTAACAAACTTCTGGCAAAAAAAAAAATCAGATTGCAGCCCAGCGGTGTGGCTCAGAGGTTGAGTGTCGCCCCAGGAACCAGGAGGTCACGGTTCAATTCCTGGTCAGGGCACATGCCCGGGCTGTGGGCTGGCCCCCAGAAGGGGACATGCAGGAGGCAGATCAATGATTCTCTCTCATCATTGATATTTCTATCTCTCTCCTCTTCTCCCTGTTGCTTCTCTGAAATCAGTAAAAACATCCTATATAATAAAGGGCTAACATGCAAAATGACCAGTCACTATGACGCGCACTCACCCACCAGGGGAAAGATGCTCAATGCTGGAGCTGCCCCTGGTGGTTAGTGCACTCTCACAGGGGGGAAACTGCTCAGCCAGAAGCCAAGCTCACAGCAGGTGAGCACAGCGGTGGTAGTGGGAGACTCTCCTGCCCCCCTGGCAGTGCTAAGGATGTCCAACTGCTAGCTCCCAGACTGCAAGAGGGTGCAGGCCAGGCTGAGGGACCCCCTCCCCCCAAGTGCATGAATTTCGTGCACCAGGCCTCTAGTATTTTTAAAAAGTAATAAGATTGTATCTAAAAAAGGCCTCTCAATTTTTATTAGAAGTCCTATTTTCAATCATTGAGATAAAAAGTTACCTGTAAAAAGACTTTTCTCCTACTTGAATAACTGAAATTCCAGCACTGTGTTTTTTGTATTTTTAGTAAGATATCTGGGATGCTACAAAGATATTAAACTATCACACAGATTTCACACACAAAAGTCCTGAAAGGACAGCTTTCAAGCAATGATTTTTCCCAAATATATGAAACAAAAAGAGCCCCAGCTGATTTGGCTCAGTGGATTGAGCATCGACCTGCAGACTGAAGGGTCCTGGGTTTGATTCTGGTCAAGGGCATATGTTGGGGTTGTAGGCTCGAACCCCAGTGAGGGGCGTGCAGGAGGCAGCTGACCAATGATTCTCTCTCATCTTTGGTGTTTCTATCTCTCCCTTCCTCTCTGAAATCAATAAAATATATCCTATATAATAAAAGGGTAATATGCAAATTGACCCTAACAGCAGAATGACTGGGAATGACTGGTCACTGACACACACTGACCACCAGGGGGCAGGCGCTCAGTGCAGCGTTAAGGATGTCTGACTGCAGCTTAGGCCTGCTCCCTGCTGGCAAGTGGACATCCCCCAAGGGCTCCCGGGCTGCCAGAGGAATGTCTGACTGCCAGTTTAGGCCCAATCCCCCAGGGAGCGGGCCTAAGCCAGCAGGTGGACATCCCCCGAGGGGTCCCAGACTGCGAAAGGGCGCAGGCCGGGCTGAGCTTCCCCTCCCCCCCCAAATTTTTGTGCACCGGGGCCCTAGTATATATATAAAAGAAAGGAAATCTATACCAAAGGGTCAGGGGCATAACTTAACAACCTGGAGTTTATAGACACTAGGTATGGCAGAATCCTACAGGAAACACATCATTTACTCATAGGTTTGTCCTTATTTCCTGGGCAGGTAACATTATAGTTGTCCTAAACAGCTACTTACTAAGTGCCTACAGTATCTTGACTACGCCAAGGTAGAAATTACTGAAGTATTAGATATGCAATTCTTAAACATCTATGATAAAACAAGGCTATCCCTCTACTGGAGAAAATGTGTCGGACTCACCCTCCCTGCCACCAAACAAAGATTACAAAATAAGCAAGTAAATAAACAAGGGGGAGGGGTAAATTTGTGTTTTCTTAACTTCCTCCTTTTATCACTACCCTTTTCTTACTTCCTACACTGATGACTTATTTTCTACAATTTACTTTCTATTTCCTAATTAAGAGTATTCTAAAGCACTGGTTTGAAAGAAAGAGTTCATCACCTTAGCCACATTCTGCTTTAGAGAAAAACAGCCTGAAATTGAAATGGTGGCTTTTAAGCAACAAGCACTCCAGAACAGATAAGATATATAATACTTTCCAGAAAGATAGTGAAATAACTTAAACAGCAGGGAGGATGTGATAACTGGGTAAAGCAGAATCCAATCTGAAGTCATTTGAAACTAGAGACTAGTTCAAAGAACCAGTTTGCAAATGACCTGCTTCATAGTTAAAAGAAACAAAGTTTACAAATATCCTGTTTCTCATTTTTAGGAATTAGAAAGAATTCCAGGTTATCCCTCTAATAATGTGAACTTCATGTGGGAGAAAACAGCTTTAGGGATTGGTGATTAACCTACAGTCATCCAAGCTCAGAGGACAAGAGGTACTCTTACCCGGCCTGTTGCTCAGTGGTTGAGCAGTGACCCATGAACCAAGATGTCACCAGTTCGATTCCCAGTCAGGGCATATACCCAGGTTGCAGGCTCGATACCCCAGTAGGGATGTTTCTATTTCTCTATCCCTCCCCCTTCCTCTCTCTAAAAAACCAATAAAAACATATTTTTAAAAAAGAGGTGCTCTTAACAACTTAGTTAAATAATGGACACTAAAAAGTAACATAATATTTATTTTCTTACAAATTTTGTCAAAATCTGAGTATACCTAAGATTATATCAAAAGTTCACATAGACTTAAAAAAAAAAAAAAAAAAAAAAAAAAAGGCCTGCCTCATCTATAAAATGGAGTTAGACCACTTTATTTTCCTGAGACTAACCTAAAATCTCTTAAAATCCTTTTCTTCTATAAGTCATGAATCTGAATTCTAAGGTCCTCCTTTTCTTTAAGCCTTCCTTTTTTTTCTCTGAAAAGCAACCAATAGAGCTGTACTGCCAATATAGTAGCCACTAGCTACATGTAAGTTACCCAAGTTTCAATTTAATTAAAATTATAAATTCAGTTCCTCAGTTGCACTTACCCCATTTCAAGTGCTCAATAGCCATTGTGGCAGATAGTTCTATGAACATTACTATAAACCTTTACAAACTCTGCTAGTATTACCTCTCTGCTACTCACTGCTTCCCCCTTGCCTTAGGTTTCCTTCTATAGTTCCCATTCAGAAAATCATAACACATATTTCATGGAAAGCGTGGAGGAAGAGATCCTTAACATAGAAGTCCATAAGATGGATGACTGCCAGAATTATTTCTGGAAACGTCTATAATTTCACTGTGTATGTTATTTGTTTACCACATATAGTTATTTATATTTTTCTTTAAAATTGACTCTTTTGGTAAACAAATGTATTTGAAAGGTAATTTTTAAAAATATTTTTACTTATTGATTGGTTTTAGAGAGAAAGAGAGAGAGGGAGAGAGGGAGAAACATCAATTTTGTTGTCCCACTCATTATACATTCATTGGTTGCTTCTTGTATGTGCCCTGACCAGGAATTGAACCTGCAAGCTTGGTGTATGCAGATGACGCTCTAACCAACTGAGCTACCTGGCCAGGACTGAAAGGTAATTTTTTATTTTCAATTTCGGTTTACATTCAATATTATTCTGTATTCGTTTCAGGTGTACAGCAAAGTGGTTATAAAATCATGTACTTTATACAGCTCTCCAATATTTCAAGTACCCACTTGGTCCCATACATAACTATTATGATATATATTCCCTATGCTGAAATTTACATCTCTGTAACTATTCTGTAACTACCTATTTATACTTCTTTTAATATATTTTTATTGATTTCAGAGAAGAAGGGAGAGGGCGAGAGAAACATCAATGATGAGAGAGTCATTGATCAGCTGCCTCCTGCATGCCCCACACTGGGGATCAATCCCTCAATTCAGGCATGTGCCCTGACGGGGAATCAAACCTCGACCTCCTGGTTCATAGGTCAACACTCAACCATTGAGCCATGCCAGCTGGGCCGATTTATATTTCTTAATTTATACTTCTTAATTCCTTCGCCTTTTTCACCCAGTCCCCCAACCTTCCTCCCCTGTCAAACATCAGTCTGTTATCTGTACCTATGAATCTGTTTCTACTGTTTATTTTGTTCATATAAGTGAAATCATATTGCTATTGTCTTTTTCCATCTGACTTACTTCACTTAGCATAATACTCTCCAGGTCCATCCATGCTGTCACAAATGGTAAATTTTCATTCTTTTTTATGGCTGAGTAGTATTCCACTGTGTATTATATACCACAGCTTTTTGTTGTTGTTTTTAAAAAATGTTTTTATTGACTTTTTTAGAGAGAGAGGAATAGAGGGATACATCGATGTGAGAGTGAAACATCAATCAGTTACCTCCCACATGCACCCCAACTGGGGATTGAACCTGCAACCTGGGTATGTGGTCTGTCTAGGAATCAAACTAACAAAGTTTCGGTGCATGGGGTGATGCTCAATCAACTGAGCCACACCAGCCGGGGCTCACAGCTTTTTTTTTTCCACTGTCAATTGATGGACATATTGGGTTGCTTCCATATCTTGGCTATGGTTAAACAATGCTGCAATGAACATGGAGGTGCATATATTCCTTTGAATTAATGTTTTGGGTTTCTTTGGATGTTGAAAGGTAATTTTATATTACTTGTGTGAATGTAAAGCAACATTATTTGCCTTATAAAGAAATGAAAACACAACAATATTAAGTTCTAGCTGAGCCTATTAAATAAGGAGAGATTAGCATGTACTACTGACCCTTGAATAACAGGTTTGAACTGTGCAGGTCCATGTATGCACAGATTTTTTTCAATACTGTAAATGTACTTTCACTTCCTTATGATTTTCTTAACATTTTTCCTAGCTTACTTTATTGTGAGAATGCAGTGTGTGTGTGTGTGTGTGTGTGTGTGTGTGTGTGTGTGTGTAATCAACTATTTATTGGTAAGGCTTCCAGTCAAAAGAAGACTATTAGTTAAATTCTAGGGGAGTCAAAAGTTATACATACATTTTCGACTTTATGAGGGAATTGATTACCCTAACCCCCATGTTGTTTTAAAGGTCAACTGTTTTAGACAAGTATTGAAGACATACTAAGCATTCACTCAAGATTTTCTGCTTAAAATAACCAGAAATTTAAAATAACTGAAAAGGATACAACTTTTTAAGTACATAACATAATTCAAATATTACTTAATATTATGAACACTGTACTTCCTAAAATCATTTCTTGACTGATATCTATCCTGTGCTTTGGGAAATACCATTCTAATGAATCTGGATATTCCTAGCATTCAAAGGCCTCCATAAGTTGACCTATCTCTCGCTTGCCAACTTTTTCCCCTAAGTTTTACCCACTAGTTCCTGAACTGCACAACTTTCCAATACAATTCCCTCTACCTAGAAAGCTTTTCCTTACTATTGCTCCCTGCTGATATCCTATCCATCCTTCAGGACCCATCTCACATACTAGCTCCTTCCCCAACTATCCACTGAGACTCTTAACCAGCTAATAATTGGACAGTATTTTGTTACTACCTTTCTTATTTCATTTATTATGTTCTCATTGACACTGTTATTATTTATGTGCTTGGCTTATATCCCCTACTATATAATCATATACCCTTACAACTTTAAGATTTTTAAAAATAGAGATCTTGTCTTACTCATTTTTGTATTTCCTGCAGAACCTCAGACACTACTTAGCAGTAAGACATGCTCAGAAAGTACTCAAGAGATTAAAATGAAATCTTAACACATATGTGTCTACTCTTAACCACCACATCTGGAGGTAGATCCACATTCATATGCATTTTTTAGAAATAAGAAAATATTATTATAGTAATCCATTGTACCTTTTCCTTTTACTCTAACTTTATTCTCTTCTATGAAATGATGTCTAGTCCTTTAGATTGTAGGGAAGTAAACAATTTGAGGCAACACATTAGATTGATTCACTCAGCTATCTGAACCAGATGTCTCAGTTTGAAGTAGTTTTTATAATGTTTTTTCCACAAATTTAAAAAGCAACTTTTCTTTAAAAAAAAAAAAAAGGCAACTGTTCTTTCTTTCTTTTTTTTTCTTCTTCTTATTAATCCTTACCCGAGAATATTTTTCTATTGATTTTCAGAGAGAGTGGAAGGGAGGGGAAGAGACAGAGAGCAAAACATCGATTGGTTGCCTCCCACATATGCCCTGACTAGGGCCAGGGATGGAGCCTGTAACTGAGGTACATGCCCTTGACGGGAATCGAATCCAGGACCCTTCAGTCCACAGGCCAACGCTCTATCTACTGAGCCAAACTGGCTAGGGCAAAGCAACTTTTCCTTATAGAAAGATTTCGAATTTTAAAATGTATATTAAAAAAAAAACTTTAAAAAATGTATATTCAATCTATAGGCTTATCTATCTAGAAAGACATTTAGTTCCCCAGTTACCTCCAGGAAAGATAACTGAGTAGAAAAGGCATGCGAAAGAAACTTACTTTTCACTATATATACTTTTTAGCTTTTGAATTCTGTTACATACATATAGTTTTCCTATTAAAACACTAATTTTTAAAATTAATAATCAATACCTAATCTTGGTCTTTTGGCTGGTATTTCATCAGTGTCCACTGTAGAAAACAGAGTGCTGAAACAAAAGAAAAGAAATATATATATACATATGTACTTATATATACACACATAACCATTTCTATAAGTAAACTTAGCGTTTATATAACACACCTCCCCCTATCCACTTTGTCATAAAATGAGATCAAACTGATGTTTTAAAAGAGAATGTTACTCGCCCTGGTAGTTGTGGCTCAGTTGGTTGAGTATCGTCCCATGCACCAAGAGGTCGTGGGTTCAATTCCCGGTCAAGGCACCTACCTGGGTTTCGGGCTCAAGCCCCAGTAGGGGTTGTGCAGGAGGCAGCCAATCGATGTTCTGTTCTCTCTCCCTGTCCCTTCCTCTCTCTCTAAAATCAATTATAAAACAAAAAATAAAAAAGTACAAAAAAGAGAATGTCACTCCATAGTAGGACTTAATACCATGGTTCCAACTATTAGAAAGAGACCCAAACTCCCTCTCATGTAGTATCTGTAATCTGGCTAAAGTCCAAAGTTGAAGCTGGTCAGAAATCACTTAGCTAGTAAATGAACATAGGTTAAGAGCCTAGGACTGCCTTCTTCTCTCCAGAAATGACTTAAAAAACCAGCACCCCAGTTATTTTCTATCTCAGAAGTAGACAATATAAGAAGCCTTGAAAGACAGTTCGTAGCCAGAAAAACTGTAATATTTAACTGCATTTTTTTTTCATGGAAACTAAATTACAGTGATAATAAAGTATTTGAAAATTCAGAAAAGTTATCGAACCTTTACCTCAACAATGTTAAAGCTTCATGATACACTACTAATCATCTAAAGATAATTGTGACTGATCACATTTCCAAAAAATGAACAGAATAAATACCAGGATAATACAATTTAGTTTATTACTTTAAACATCCCAAGACCTCCTGGCTTCATTTTGACTGAAAAATGGCTTACATTGAGAAGAGTTGTTTTAGATTAAGGATGGGCAGTAAACAATAGTATTTCCATCTCCAAACCACTGTTCCCCTGACTAGCAGGAATTCATAGCAAAAAGAGAGAGGACGGGGAGAGCAAATTAATATTCCCTTATTTAATAAATATATACCAACTGCCTATCGTGCACCAACCTCCGCACAAGGCCCTCTGGGTAGAATAAACAAATGCTACTCATATATACTAAGCATCATGCTAGGCACTTTACAAAATGTTCTCAAATGAGCCTGATATCAACCCTACAGAAAGGTAGAAAGGAATAATAAGTTGAAACCCTACCCTCTCTGAACACATAATGGAATTTAGCTAACAATCTATCTCATCAATGACCTGCATTCTCAGATTCCTGTATTAATTCTCTTGTTCTCTCACACTCCAAGAAACCAACTTTCAATGATCTTGAGGCTTAATAATAATAATAATAAATAAAAGTGAACGCAACATTTGATCACTGGGGGGAGGGGTGTAAAGAACTGTTATGGTATTTTATTCTCTAGAAGATTAAGTCTTAGGTAAAGGGGCGCGCGCACACTGTGAAGGTATAAACCAAGGGGTAAAATGCTAAGTAAAAACAGCCTTTACTTTCTCCCCAAAATTTTAACTTACGAGTACAGACTAGTGATCTTTTTAAAGGAATGAAGTACCAACCTACCCCCCGCCCCTCATACACTAATGCTGAAGCTAAGAATCACTCTCCCTACCTCTCTGCCCAAGGGCGCGTGTACACACACACACACACACACACACACACACACACACACACACAGTCTGACAACTGTTTCAGAACAAGACAGCTGCTGTTTCGGTGCTGAGAGAACAGCATTTGCAGTCAAAACGGCTCTGGGCAAGCTATCAACCTCACTTCCCTTAACTGCACTTACTGCCCGCAGATGACACCTGGGAGTGTGCTTTGTAAACAGAGAGCCAAAACAAATCGCTCGTGTTCCACCCGAGAGCAGCAAAGTCTGGTAAAGCCCCGTTTGTGGACAGGGAGCGGCGTGGACTCGGACAAGAACAGCCGATGTCCGAACCATCACCTGCCACTCCGAAGACGACCAGCATCTTCCGTCACCAGGAGCCGCATCAGCCCAGGGCGGAGGAAGCAGCTACGTCACCAAGGCACCCGCGACCCGCACCTCCACCGCCGCGGCCCAGCGGCGCGTCGGGGCTGCGCTCCTCCGCCGGGGCCCGCCGGGCGGGATCGGCGCTCGCCGCCGGACCCGGGAGAGGGGAGGGGACTCACGGGCCAGCGCGCAGCCCCTCTCCGCTCACCTGTTCGAGCGCCGTCGCTTCAGCAGGGCCCGGGCAGGGGGCACCGACCGGTCGCAGAAGCGGAAAATGGTGCCGAGAATCCTAACCAGCCATTTGTACATACCAAGCCGAAGCAGCAGCGGCGGCCGACACACCCGGAGACGCAAACCCCAGAGCTGTCGCCGCCGCTGCCGCCTTCGCCGCCTCAGCCACCACAGCCAAGGCTCAGTCGCCGACTGGTGACGCGAGCGGCAGGCCCACACATACAACGTCCCCAGGGCTACGGGAGGACCCCGCCTGCCGCCGCGCTCAACGTCACCTCCTCCCTCCCGACCGGAAGGCATCTTCGCCCTCGATCTGCGCACGCGCACCCTAAGGGCTGGCCGCGGCCCAATCAGGGGTGAGATCGAAAGGGATGTGGGTGGGGCTCTTCCCTTCGGCGGAGCCAATCCTGAGGCGGCCCGCGGGACAAGGCCCACAGGCTGCACGTGAGGCTTCTACACCAGGGAGGGGGCGCTCCGAGGGCCTGGACTACAGGAGGCGCTCAGTACGTGTTTGAGTGCCCAAGAGAAAGGTAGGTCAGATGAATTAACAAGTATTTACCGTGGAAGGAGCCCTTCATTTTGCTTCTACCTTGTACTTGACAGGCACTGTCACCTTCGTTTCTCCCAGCAACCACAGGCAATGGAGAATCTTGTGCCCCCCCCCCTTTTTTAATAAATAAGGAAATCGAGGCACAGAGCGATTAAGTCATGTGCCTAAGGTTATAAAGCAAGCTGGAAGTTGAACCCGGGTCTGAGAACCAGCACCAATCACCCACCCTAGAAGTCTTCTGGGAGAGACGAGATTACAAGTTACAAGACAATTGGCTTTATTCATCATTTGTTCAATAAATAATATTCTGAAATTCTGCCGCAAGCCACTCCCCTAGAGCTTCAGAACCACTAGCTACCCACCTTTGGCTACCTCCACTCTGGCTTGGGGGCAGAGGCAGTTCCTGTACACAGCTAACACTAGGATGTCACTGAAAGTTTGAGAATACAGTAATAGCAGAATTACAACGCCTAGGACAGCGGTTCTCAACCTGTGGGTCGCGACCCCTTTGGGGGTCGAACGACCCTTTCACAGGGGTCGCCTAAGACCATCGGAAAACACATATTGTTTTTGTGATTAATCACTATGCTTTAATTATGTTCAATTTGTAACAATGAAAACACATCCTGCATATCAGATATTTACATTACGATTCATAACAGTAGCAAAATTACAGTTATGAAGTAGCAACGAAAATAATTTTATGGTTGGGGGTCACCACAACATGAGGAACTGTATTAAAGGGTCGCGGCATTAGGAAGGTTGAGAACCACTGGCCTAGAAGATTTAGAAGTGGCTATTGCAAGCACAGCATCTACAGCCCATTGCCTCCCCAAAGGACTCTCCTTCCCCCATGATCATCTCTCCACTCTTCTCAACATCTCTTACAAGTCAACAACAGAGAAGAATTTCCCTCCCACCTGCAACCCAACCCATTTCATAATTTAAGACTAATGCTGGCTTTTTTTTTGCAGAGCAGTTTAGCAGTGTCCCAGCTGTCCATTCCACTTGAAGAGTTGGTCTTTGCTTTTGCCAAACTAAGAACACCATGCAAGTATTGAGAAGAGATTCCTCAAAACAAAAGAGCAGTCTTCATTCAAAAAATAAATCAGAACCCGGATCAGAAGGCTCAGTTGGTTGGCGTGTTGCCTGTACACCAAAAGGTTGTGGGTTTGATTCCTGGTCAGGACACATACTAGGTTGCAGGTTTGATCCCTGGTTGGGTGCGTACAGGAGGCAACTGAAAGATTAACATTGTGGTACTCTGGCAGGCTAAATAGCCATCTCAGGCAATGATTAAAGAAAAGTGGATTTATTTAAGGAAAATGGGATGGAAGGTGGGGATATCCAACAGGAAGGGCTACACAGAGAAAAAGGGGCCTTGGAGACAGGTGCAGGGGATTAGCCCAGGATGAGCAGCCACTATCCATTGCTCCCCTGGTTGCAAGTCTCATGGGGTCCCTTGGCTTAGAGGTTAGGGGATATATTCCTGGTGGGGAATGGGACAGGAGGGAGATCTCTCCGCATGCACTGGATCCTTTGTCCTGAGTGCATTCGTCTTTTTCTTGCAGGTGGAAATCTTAGGGAAGTTCTCAGGGGAGGATCTTAATAGAAGTCATCAGCTCTCCAGGTGTGCTCTTTCAAGGTCATGATCGCCGCTGATTGGTCTGTACCAGGGCAGGGGGTCATTAGTCAATGTAGCTGGTTCTGAGGCAGCCATGGTGTCACTTGTCTGGTTTTGCTGCTTTTCTGGTTCTGGTGCTGATATGCAACTGAGGCCTAAATGTTATCTTTAGGGAGGAAAAGGTTAAGGGGTCTAAACCATCTGACCAGTGATATGAAAGATCCAAGGTCCAAACTGTATGACCAGTGATATGCTAGGGGGAGGATAGGTTGCTCTGGGGGCAAGGTTCTTGTTTTCTCAGTTTTGCCCCTTGGTAGGCATCTGGAGCTTTCTGCCATGGTGGGTTTCTGTACCTGGCCATCGTCCTTGCTCTGAGGGTCTAAAAACCCCTCCTCTCTCCACCACTCCTCCCCCCCCACCCCGCCTTCAAGGATTTTTTTGTCACTGAATTCTTTCAGGGAAAAGGGGCATAGGGTCTCTTCTATAGCTGCTACCTGCTGAAAGGGGGTAACCTTTTACTTCAAAGCAAAAGATCCTTGCTCTCTGTCAGAGGGATGATGAGGCCTGGCACTAAAGGAGGTTGTGATGGTGTCTAGGGGTGGTATTTCCTGAGTACAAGTAGGCCTTGTAACCTGGTGGATACAAACTGTTTTATAAATGTTAATATTATTGGGGCAAAAGCTAGAATGACAAGAATTATGACAGATAGTCCAATAAAAGGAAAAAAGTTCCAGTTGTTAAATAATTTCAACTCAAAGGATGAGAGAAAAATGAAACATTAATTTAGAGGGTTGTAGTAAAATATTTAAGAATCAGGATCTAGTTTAGTTTAGCTAATGGGTGAAAAATAGAACTTTGAAGATAATGAACTGAACTAGAGTCTAACATTTACAACTATGTATGTGGAATCTATTGAAACACATTCTCCCTCCTAAAATTACCCTCATTTTTATCAAAGAGTATTTTATCAAGTTTAGTTTTAACTTGGTCTGATTATCTGCATGAATACAAGAATAGTAATAGATTATATAGACTCTTTCAGATCTATTTTGCTGGAACTTTACTTACAGGGAACACTCAGATTGAGCTTCAGTTGATGTTTCTCTTTCTTTCTCCTCCTTCCTCTCCCTGAAAATCAATTTTTAAAAAATATATCCTCAGATTAGGATTTTTAAAATCAGAAAAGTACAACCTGCTTTAGAATAGCAGCTTCTCCCAGGTTCTGGCCACCAAAATTTAAGAAATCTGAGTATCAAGCCTCAGAGCACTCTAGCACAACACAACCCATTTTTTTCTTTTTCTGCCTCATCAATAGCACCTGCACATACCCAGTGTTGAAATATAGACAGTTACCCACCCTGAAAAGTGGAAACCTCAGTCTGAATCTCTGAGACTCATCAGCAAACAATGACTCCTGAGTATGGCAGCCCTCACCCCCTCCCACCTCAGAAACATCCCCTTTGTGTCCTCTTAATGTCTCTAGCTGGTCTCAGAAACAGAGAAAAGGAGGGGATTCCGCCTTACCATAGCTCCCACCTGGGACTTGTCTGCCAATTGATGCCTTCACAATGTCCTGTTGTCCATATTAGGGCCATAAGCTGAAAAGGAAAATGGGGGGGCTTGCAACCTAGTTCAGTATCTGGTTAAAACTGTAGTCTTACTTCCCAACTCTGACTGACTTGGGTGGAACTGCAGAACCTAACCCCAGGGCCCTGCCACAGCTGACTAGGGCAGAGCTGCGGAGCTGTGGAGCATGACCCCAAGGCCCCGCTGACTTGGGCGGAGCTGGGGGGGCCCTCAGGGGCCCGCCACAGGAGGAGATATATATAGGTCAGAGCCTCCCCATGAGTTCAGTTCAGACTTTGGATCTGGAATTCCCCTGGACTAGCAGATCTGAGAAATAAAGGTTAAACTTTCCTCCCGCAGAGTGCTGGCTGATCGTTCTCCCATGCGTTCTGCCACAACCAAGCCACTGTGCATCCATTGGTCAAGGAATGAGATTATTCTTAACCCTAACCCCACTGCTACAGCCATTCCCAAACCCAGAAACTCTTGGGGGAGTGGGAAATAGGGGAGGGGAGGAGGAAGGGGGGAGCAGAGAAGAATCCCAACGCCATATGGAGTAACAAGGACAGTGAGATTTCTGCCTTTGGCTTGGCTAATTTTCACTCTTAAACTGCCAGAAGGAGACAACCTCATTGCTTAAGTTTTCATTGGGCATACTAAACAGTTACTACAGTTTTCCAAAAAGATGGTCATCGTCCTTTGGCTGAGTTCCTCTTCTTCAAGCCTTTCCATGCCCCAGCCCCCATCTTCCTCAAACCCCACCTCCCCTCCACAGAACAATGTAGGCCCAGCTCTCCAATCCAGTCTTGCAAATTTTTCCTTTGTCATCATTCCCAGACTGTTAAAAGATTTCCTTTCAACTCTGTTTTTGCTGACCCTTGTGCAAATGGAGTTGTGGGCCATTTGATAGAATGGGGAAGGAGGCCATAGTTTAGATGTTGGTTTAATCCTAATGTACCTAAAATCTAACATAATTCACCACCCTGAAGATTCATTTTCTTCTGAGAATGTGTCCTTTTTATAATGTGTCTTTGACCTTAATCTGTTTTAATAATACCCTTGGCCTTATTATCCAAAAGCAAATACAGTTCTTTCTTGTCCTAGGTTTCATTTGCTTACATTGACCACTAAAGACTAGGCCTGCCTCATGTGGAGAAATAATAGCTAGCAGCAGGCCCTACCTAAGCTTAACCAAACCTGCTTTTCAGATCTGTGGGCTGGTTAAATGTGTTTCCTTACCTCTCCTCCCTTCTCATATCTAATAAGTCATTTACCTTGCCAGCTGAACATCTTACATTTTCCTCAGGCCTGCCCCTTCCCCTCTCCAAACCCAAAGAGCTACAGTCATTCAGGAACTGATCATTTCTCACACCACTGTGAAATAGGAATTTTTAGGGGTGAAAAAGGCAGGTTTAGGGAATTTTTTTAATTAATGGGGGGTCCATGGAAGAAACAGGCCTACAGAGCCATAAAGGTTACATTTCCATAAGACAAGGAAGCAGGGAACCAGCAGAAATTATACTTCCATAAGAAAGGGAACTGGGAGTAGCCAAAGGTCCATATTTACAAAATAAAGAAGGAGGGCCCCACAAGTCCCACCTGAGGTTTAACCTTTGAGCTCAAGTGTTGCTATAGTGACCAAATCAAAGGGGGAATAGTGGCCAATCCAAGGGGATATTGAGGCACAAGAACTACAGCCTTTATAAACTGGGGAAAAAGGAACTCTTTCCCCCTCCCCATGTGGGAGTCTGAGCTATAAGGTTCTTTCCCCTTCCCCGTCTGGGAGCCTGTACTTGTTCTTCAATAAATTTCCACCGTTGCTATACCATCTTCCGTCCGTGGATTCATTCTTCCACTCTGATGGACAAAGAGCTCGGGAACCAGCCTGCCCAGGGGAACACCACGTGTTTCAGGCCAAAATTCCTGTATCAACTTCAATAGCCAGCTCCTTTTCTACCCTGTCCCTCTTCTGTGCTATTTTCAAGGTGATCTCTCTTTGTCTTTTTTGTGGTTGTTTTGTTGCCTTTAGTTGTTGTTAAGGAAGATAAATTAATGTTGTTGGTGTTCTTATTTAGTAAGGACAGTAAATTTATAAATTAGATTTCTGGTTTTTTGTTATTACTGAATCACTAAAATTGGCTGGGTTGATTTTCACCAAATTCCGGAGGTTTATTTGGAGTGGTGAAACTGAGGGTCCTTATGACTTTGATTAAATTTAGTTTTAATTTTAGCTCTAGAATTCATATCCCTGTCTCTCTCCATGCCCCTCAAAGACCTAGCCTTTCCCTCGATAATCAGCAACCCCCCAAGGCAACAGAACACAGTATCGAGGACCTGAGTAATGATTACAAGGTCTGGGCACCTGGCTAGCTAAAGAGACCACAACATTTGAACCTACGTTATGTTTCAATTCCTCCTGGCTACTTTCTCATGAGGCCAGACAGAGGGATACCTGAATAGACCTCAGAGCCCTCTTCAAGACCTGAAGAAATGATTTATTACCCTTCCCTCACCTCCAACCACTCAGCTCCCAGCACTCGCTCAAGCCCCCCAAACCCACAGTGTTTTGCGATTTTGCCCGGTATAATTTGTAACCCACACGCTTTCGGGGAGTCAGGTCTTTAGAGCTCTAGCCTCCCATCTCCATATTGGCCAATTCGATATTAAACTATTTTTTTTTCTATACTGCAAACTCCTTCTCGTGTATATCTTTGAGCCAGTGCGTGCATGCAGGTAGCCTCAAGGAAAAATATTGGAGGCCTGGCAACAGTGGTCTGACTTAAATATGGGCAACCCTACATTTTCCTTTGGACAGCTCTAGGGGGAACTTCAAAAGAGAGACAAGGTCTCGGGAGCAGCTGAAACTGAGGTTCAGCCAGAAGAGGATGCCACTAGGTGAGAAAGACCCTGCTGAGTTAGACAGCAGGAACTCCTTGTAGAGACTAAAAAAATAATAATAATACTTTCCCTCCTTCTAAGTTCTTCTAGCTGTGCTAATAACCGAATTATCAGAGACAGATTAACAGCAGAGAATCAATTTTTAAAAAATATTTTTTTAATTGATTTCAGAGAGGAAAGGAGAGGGAGAGAGAGAGAGAGATAAAACATCAATGGTGTACCCTAGCCAGTTTGGGTCACTGGATAGAGTGTCGGCCTGCAGACTGATGAGTCACAGGTTTGATTCCGGTCAGGGCCACATGCCTGGGTTGCAGGCTCAATCCCCTGTGGGGGTGTGCAGGAGGCAGCCGATTAATGATTCTCATCATTAATGTTTCTATCTCTCTCCCTCTCCCTTCCTCTCTGAAATAAAAAAAAAATATTTTTTTTTTTTTAAAAAGAAACATCAATGGTGAGAGAATCATTGATGAATCATTGGCTGGCTGCCTCCTGCACGTCCCCCACTGGGGATCAAGCCCACAACCCGGGCATGCACCCTGACCAGGAATTGAACTGTGACCTCCTGGTTCATAGGTCGACGCTCAACCACTGAGCCATGCCAGCCAGGCAAAAATCAAA